AGCTCTGTACATGCATTTCTCTGCAACATCATACTACTGGTTTAAGAAAACAGAGACCATTGTTTAAGCATCACAGTCAGGTTGTGGGGACAAGTTTAGTCCACCTCTTCTGCTACTTATGAAATCCAGCAGCTGGCAGGGGAGCAATACCAACGGTGCCTCTTACCCTACTTCCCCACTCCATCACTTGTGGGTCTGCTGAATATATTCTTAACTAGGATACAGAAATAAAAACATTTAGCTAGAAGTAAGTATCAACATATGTCATTCCCTTTAACAACTTTAAGGTAAGCTATTAGATCAAACGCTGTTGATGATTCAGACTTTCCATTATTAAAACAGCATATCAGCCACAGTATCAGTCTAGAAAATAAGGAAAGTCCTCTTGCAAAATTAGCAGTCACATTTCCACTAGTTTTGATTACAGTTGGTTGAAGCTCTTTGGCCTAATACTTTGGGATAATAAACTTGAAGATGTCACCAATCACTGGTACCACATACTGTAGCAGTTGGAGCCACAGGTGAATAATCTTTCAACTAACAGATGCTGTTAGTCCCATCATTGGTGCAAAGAACACAGGCGCTAGATTTTCTAATTGGTTTTACACTTACTGCATGACCCAGACCGACCATCTGATGTCCCAAAATTAACAATCATAACATTATACGAACATAAAACCTTTTTATCAGGAGGTCTAAAAAAATCCTTTCCTCCTTGCTCTGAGCACCTAAAGTCTACTAAAGGCAAAAAAAGAGATAGCCACCTCCATTGCCAGAGACCCACGAATCAGTCAAACGATTGTTTAAATTAATGCTAATGTGGGTTGTACTGTAAAGCAGCAAGGTATTTTGTATATTCCTATGAATAATGTTAACAAGAGTTGCTGATAAATCTGCTGTCCGTTCCTGCACACAGCACAACTCAAAACAGCAATTTGAGCAGTTGTCTGGAAAGGCTCATTACACAGCTATAGTGACCCACAGTGGAATTCTGGATATACTAGAACAACTGTGGGCATAAAATAAGGCTTTTCTGTTTGCATCCTATTAGTGACATTGTCATTAGCTCACTTGCTTCATCTCCATGGCTTTTTTCTTTCCATACCCCTTTCAAGATCATTATACTTCCCCATGTACAGTCATACTCAGATAGCCTTAATACTTTAAGGCACTATTCTTTGAAAATGAATCCTCAGATGACTTGCACAAAACCATGTCCGTGCCTTTGTCTTTATTCCAGCCAAGGAGCAGTTTATGGCAGAGCAAAAGCAGCAGATAGGGAGCTCATGGTAAACTTCTTGTATCACCATGCACAGCTGCAGAATTACAGTGTGTGCATTTCCCCAGTTTACCTTTTTTTAATTACATCATTTTTTAAAAAAGAAAATAAACCTAGAAAGCTGGTGTAGATCCATGAATATATTTATGAAATTATGTCATATCCTTTAGGCAGAGCCTATGTCTTACTGTGTGTTCAGGCCTCATATCTGGCATTGCAGTGTCTCAGTACAATCTATTGGGATATACACTTGCAACAAATCACGCTGCTGACATGAACAATAACTTTATTTTGCAATTCTGGTTAGAAAATGAACCCCCAAAACCTCAGAATTTTAATTTAAGACATCCATTTATGTGGCCAAAGGGAGTCGATCCAGGTAAAAGGGTATATAGAACAACAGTTTGGTTTAGAACCAGGGCTGCTTTAAAAAAAAAAAAAAAAAAGAAAAAAAAAGAAAAAAAAAAGAAAAAAAACAAAACCAGGGAAGAATGAAGTTAGAAAAACAATGATGGGATGGATCACTCACACTCATTGCTTGTTCTGGACCAGCCTGGTATGTTTGTCTTATGGGTCTTAATAATGTCTGTGCCAAAGGAGTTTCTAAAACTTTGTAATAACCTGCACCACTGCTCAGCTCTCTACCTTGTCATGGTATAAAATCAAGCCTAGATTTTATTTAGCCCAAACTAACTCACTATTTATATCTGAAAGACAGATGGAACAATAGCATATCATAACCTTTTACTGATCAGAAGATTGATATGCTTCTCAGTTCCCCCTTCTAGATTAACAACCTAAACTCCTACAGTTTTAATGCATAAATCAGGCTTTCTTAACATCTTGTTAGATGTTTAGATTGATGCTTTATCTTTCTTGGGTTGTGATACCCATAGTACTTGCACAAAGTAGTAAATTACTTCCTGTATCTTACCAGAGTATTCCTGCTAATAAACTAATCAGAATGTGACTTTTTGCAGTGTGTGATCCACTCCAAACCTCTACCCAATGTAGAATATGACTGACAACTGCCACAGGAAATACATGCACAATTATCACTAAACAGCTCTAATTCAAAAGCTTGGGCTGTCTTCAAGCCAATAAACATATTCCAGCCCTTTCTCTCTTATTTCCCATTACTCTAATGCAGCTCTGCTATCATGAAAGCATGCTTTATCTGCTAAAAATATATTTAAAAAAAAATTTTTCATCATGTAAATGACCAAAACCTACTTGCTCATCCAATGAGAAAGTTGGTATACATCTGCCAAATAAACATGAAAATGCATCATTTAATCTGAAAAAAAATGTGTTTGGCATTCTTGTGTTGCTCAATCCTTCATTTTCTTTAAACTGTGTAAGAAGTCATGTGATGATGAACATTCATAAAAACATATAGGACCAGAAAACTTATAAGCAAGGTGCATGATTCAGAAGTGAAACAGACAATGCTGCTGGGTAGTTTTTGCCATACAGCTACTTATACACTATTCCCTTTTACTAAAGATGTCAAAGAACAATTGTGAAGAACCTGAAATGGTAAGAGCAGATTCAGAAAGATCTTCTGAATTAAGCTACAGTGGGATAAGGTGGGGAGGGAGAGTTTATTTTTCCTACTTCCACCATCCTTTACCTTTCTCCTTGGAAAAAGGCAAACAGGAACCAGCTTTTCTACTCAGACCAGACCACCTTCTGTTCAACTATAATAGGGATTAGAGATATGAATGTGTGAACTACCCACATAAAACATCTCAAAAGTAAGAGTGGATGGATTAGGCTATATAAACCACACATATCTGAACCCAAGTTACACTTTTCTAATCAATGGTTTACTGTCCAAAGTAGCCTGAAATACTGCTATATTATCATTCCAATAATGCTTTATATGCTATCACTTTCTAACCGAAATATTAAGATGTTTTATTTCAAAAAGTATCTGTATCTAGAAGGAAATTAATACTTAGGGCTTTGTTCTATTCCTGTGAATCAAACTCTGAAGGAAAGAAACATGAATCTACAAATGTATGCTACATTTCACATTTATTCTTCCACATTTTGAAACAAGAAAGGTTGTGGGGTTTTTGGAAGTTATGTTCTTTCTCTGATTTACTATTTCTGAGCATTTAAGTATTGCTTGTCAGATTAGGTTTACAGAGTCACAAAATGGGTTATTTTTTCCGTATTGTTGTTCTTATATTTTATTCCCCTTGCAAAACAGGTGCATCTTCTGCTCAGCATGTCATGAATTTTTCTCTTGGGAGAGTGGGTGGTTCTCACAAAAACAAAAGCTATTAAGCTTTATAAGAGAAACAAATTCAGCATAACTCCCCCCCCAGCAAAATGTAATGCTGCACTCTGCTAAAACAGTCTCCTTTCTTCTCCTGACACTTCTGTCAAGTCCATGACATTGTCTATACATTCTCCCGCAAGTTACAACAATAGTATTTCCTAACACGGCTGAACATTTTAGAAAGGAAGGCAACTTTTAATCCTCTAGTATTCAGCTCATCTGATTATGTTTCAAGTCTGGTATTCAATTAATAAAAAAAGAACTCAAAATTGGTAGCAGCTATTTTTAATTCCCCTGTAATTTTCACAGCCTCGAGAGAAGGTTTAGCAACCTGAAAAAACCTACGCAGAGGGATCTCATGACACAGGAGGATTAGAGATGCATCCGAAGATCAAATACAAACAAAATGAAGACACACATACTCACCTTGTACAAACTGGCATTTCATCTATAAAAGACATCTGCCACTTAGATATGGCACAATCATCAGCATAATAGGGAAAGCATTATTAATTGCTGTAGAGCAAGTCTGAAGCTCAGAGGGGTCAAAAAGGGACAGGGACTGCAAGGGGACTTGTCATTTCATTAACACCACTTCTCTGCACAGCCTAGAGAATTCAGGCTCCAAAAAGGTTTCCTACAACATTTCAAAACCCATCAGTGTGCCTCCACCAAAAATTGTTTCATGCTGTCTTTAGTTGGGGGAGGCGACCAAAAACCTGCATGTTAAATATTAACGTCCAGTTATGTGTTTTCACCATTAGTGATTCCTCATCTTTACAGAAGCATTTGATTCCTTTTTGAGAGAAGCACATTTTAAAAAGCTGTGGCAGCCAGACCTATAATGGACAGATAAACACTGGCACTTACCCTTTGCTACAGGGCAGGCAGCGGGTTTGAGACATCCTCAACACTCATCGAAGGCCAGCTTTTCAGCAGAGCTCTGATATCTCACTCAAGCATGACTAAGCCTGTGCATTGGCTAATAAGCAGGGAGGGAAAAAAAAAAAAAAAAAAAAAAAAAAGGTTCTACCTACCTCTATTCTGTACCATTTTCTTTAGGACTGGCCTTGAAGTCAAAATCTCAGGAAACCCTTTTCAACTCTACTGTGCTAAGGGCTGCAGCTCTGACACCGCTCACTTCCACCTTTTGCTCTCTGCATCACCATGCTCTTCTTTTTGCACTCCCACCCATGTGCAGAATTCATTAGCCCTTTGCCTTCCATCGCAGCACTTAAATAAAACAAGTGAACCTTCCAAAGGATTCAACATCTAAGAGCTTCTCTGTGTGTGTGGGGGGGAAATCAAACATTTAGCTTTACAGTTCCTTTGGAGCTGTGACCTTCGGCACTTCTTGGTAAGACTTTTAAAGCAAACAAAAGGAAAAAATGAAAAAGTTTCTTACTTCCCCCTTCTCTTGCTGTCTTGCAGCCCATGGGATCAGAGCGGATGGAGATGCGCAAACGGCAGATGTCTACAACCCAGGAGACCCCAGGTGCCGCACAGACTCAGCACAGCACAGGAAATCGGGGGTCCAACGCCTGTTGCTTTTGTTGGTGCTGTTGCTGCAGCTGCTCATGGTAACCCCTCTCAAGCCTTTGGGGAACAGAGTAGCAGGGGAAGGAGGCAGCAGCCAGTGTATAGGACAAAAGCCAAACAAACCACCTGGGTAATTCTGCAAATCTGGGACAGAGCGAGATGACTGTGCTCTAGTACTGGACACAACCTTCTACTCCAGTTTACTCTTCTTCCTGCAACTGAAATAACAGATTTCTAAAAAACACCTCTGCATAGCATCTCTGTTGTACTTTTGTTGGCAACACTGTGTAATGGAGGGTATGTTTCATGCAGGACTGGTTTTCCTCAGCCTTGAGCTTCACCAGTGCTTTCACTAAAAACTGAAAGCAGCACCAGAGCATGTCACAGCTTTAGATTCAGGGCCAGGACTTAATAAGCAGCAGAGACTGTTAAAATGGAGTTAGAAGAAGGTAGAAGAATTTGTAGGTCATAAAATTAATAACCAGGTGCCCAGCACTGTTCCTTTGTTTGGAAGGTAACAGGATCTGTTATCATTAGTGTTGTCAACTCATGGCACCTGCAACTCATGAAATTAATTCTTAGAATCAGAGACTTTTAAACATTATGGGTATTTGCTGAAGATAAGGAGCTAATCAGAACATAATTCAGAAGAACTCCCATTACAAGGCGTTAAAGGGGAAAATTTATCAGGAAAGCAAAGCAAAAGAGAAAAAGGAATCAATCCATTCCTTAAATTAATGGGTTCACCTTCTCTTTCTTACCAACTCTACCAGATCCAAGTGACTTCATTCAAAACTGAAGCTTCCCATACTCAGAAGTCTCATATCTGTTTGGGGCCAACTGTTAATTAATGGGCAAAACCAGAACTTGCATTGAAATAAAGTCAAACAGCCATAGGAGTTAAACCAAAACAAGGACAGCAAGCTGCGTGCTTCTTATAAATGCACTATCCACTACAAACACTTCAGAGCATGGACACCTGGCACTGAGGTGAAGGGAAGAAGTCATAAATAACCTTACAGCCCAGGCTAGGAATCTATTCCACCCTTATTTTTCTTCCAACAACAGCTGGTAGCAAATGGTTTGGAGAACACCACTGGAAGGCAAGGGAAGAACAGGCTGATCATTCCTCTGCTATTGGTACTCAGCTCATCAGAAGCCAACCCTGCCCTCCCTAATGCAAACAGTGGATATTTTTTTTTTTAAGGACAAGAGGCCACTCAGAGTTTTTCTGCAAGATGGCAAGTACTGTGGCTCTGATCCTACCCAGCTTTTCAGCAGATGCTTAGAGGTAAACTAAGGTAGAGTTTAAAGAGACATTAAGTACTGTGCTTGAACAGGATCAGTTTGCTACCTTGCAGAATGGCATATATGTTAAAGCATCCCATAAAAATTACAGTGTCATCTGAACAGTTGTCCAGTGCAATCGCAAGTGGCTCAGTCCAGAGCTGCATTACACAAAGACACATCTTTCCATAAAAAGAAAAAATAAGGCACATTTATCTACTAAGTCAGAGTACATAAAATTTGCATTTTCTTTTCAATTGTTGGTAAGAGTGCTTTTTTGCCATTTTACCTGGTATTTTCCAGGATGCTCATTTTCTGTGCATCTCACTATTCAAACATTTCAAAGAAAGCCATTTACTCAATAGGGTGTATGAAAGGACCCAAATTTCATGATGTTTAAAATTCCTATTTGCATTTCAGAGTCATCTGAGAAAGCACTACAAGCTCCAAAACAGAGCTGCTCGTTTTAGCTTTAAAATAATTTGATTTTTTTTGAGAACAATTGTTTTCTAGTAGCAAGAAATGCAAAACAAACTGTAATTAAGTTATTTATATTTTCTGTTCATAGAGCCTTTTCTGAAAATAGCCCAAGTACTTTGAACAGAAAAATTATGAATAGGAATAAAAATAACAGTCTACATGAGTCATGCCGCTGAGTTGCTGAACATCCAATATTCAACATACTCTTAATAGTAGATTTGGAATGAAGAAATGGTGAAATGAGTCTCAGCTGGATGCTCAGAGCCTGTGTTCATTCCTACAGCCAAAACTCAAGCCTCCAGACTGTTATTCTTCCAGATCCTGTGAAGATGCAGTATTGCACTAGAGGGTTTTTTAATTTATTTACCTGTGCATTTAGGCTTTTTCCCTAGAAATGCAAGTCATTTTCTGAGGCATGGTATGTTCTCTTAAAAAAGCTTTTGTTATTTCTTTTGTCTTTTTCCCCTTTTGTGCATTATCCTATGACAACTGTAATCCTTTCTGTTGGATCCGTTGGTTCCCCTCAATCCAGAAATCACTCTGACCAGCATATCACTTCTTGTCCATGTGAGGAATACATAATATATCAGTTTTCATACTAAAAAAAAAAGCTCAGAATCACTGGTAAAAAGTGTAGTAAAGGACTGGGACCTATATACCCCAAAAGAATTGAGAACTAAAATTAATTACTTTCTTTTTTTCCTGAGAAGGCGAATTGAAATAGTTCATTGGTTTGAATGTATGGTTCAGATGTTGCAGGAAAAAAAAAGCGTTTGCAATACCTGCTCTCCATCTTAGCAACAAGAAAGCTTCCCTACCTCTTCTCAATTCATGGACTACCTTGACAAAGAGAAAAGCAGGTCTCTGCAGATTATGGACTAACACTAGAGAAAGCAAGGAGATAACCAGTAAATACTAAGGTTGCAAATAAGACAAAGCCATGAGTTTAGAAGGTAGAAAGGAAAGATAAAACAACTGGTTTAATAAAAAGCCTTACTAGAGATACATGAGATTCTTAATCCTCAAGTCAAAACTGCTACAACATTAACATTAAAGGAAGTTAAAATACAAATGAGGAGATTAAGTTTGATATTTTCCTAGAAGTTAACTGCATTATTTCAGCTGGAGAATCCATGTCATATAAATTACAGGTTACAATTCACCAGGACTACTTCTTGACAACTTCTAAGCAACTGTACAGATTATATGAATGTGTATGTATGCTCATGCATTCCTCACCAAAATATGATAGCCTATGAACTGGAACATAGTCCCCATTCCCTAAAAAGAAATATGCATATTCTCAAATCCAGTCTCAAATGAAAAAGAATCATCTACAACTACAAAAGGCATTCTTAAAAACTAAGAGTTATTTAAACTAACATTTGATGAACACAGCAGGAATTTATAGCTACCCTTCTGTAGCACATGAAAAACTCTTCTCCGATCACTAGTGCTTGTAACAAGCATTTAATTTTTTTGTAATGCTGCAAACAAGCTAATACTCATTTCCAGTCAGATATACTCAAAACGATATTCAGCAATGATGTATCTGCTCTTTGTGCTCCAGTCCTCACATTTTGAAGTATAGACTAGCATTTGAAGTTGCAATCAGTAACCACACAATCTGGCTTATATCTGCATCTGAATTCTGTAAAATAGTTACACTTTCAGCATTACCTACAGAAGCATCTAAGCTTGCTTAAAACTTGTGCTCCAGCTTCTGAACTCTGGCTTTCTTGTAACATGGTATCACCAGTCAAAACCAGAGTCCTGGCTCCCATCATGCCCTATGGATATAAAAAATGGCCAAGGGAAAAAAAAACACCCACAACAAAAAACCCCAACCAATCTTGAAATCTAACTCACATAAAATCAGTGCATCTAGTGAACTTCAGTTAAAACACTGCATTAAGCATACATAGTATAAAAATCAACAGAGAATAATATATATAGGGAATTGGACTCAATTATCTTTATGGGTCCCTTCCAACTAGAGATATTCTATGAATCTATGATCCCTATATAGAAAGTTTATGTGATACAATATTGAAGAGTGTTCAGCTACATCAAAGTTTTCCAGGTTTATACAACTGTAAAATTCATGTCAGAGTATAACTATGGGTAGTGTGGCTACTGTTCACTTCTGTCCTTTTAGCCCCCTTTTTTTTTTAAATATCAGAGGAAAAACATCCAGTGTATGTTCAGCCTTTTTGTCCTTAAAGTTCACTAAAACTTTTGTTTGCTACTTTGCAGTCTTACTGTTAGAAATCAAGACGAAGAGAGAGCAAGGAGAACATCTCATGAACTCCAAGCAGAGGATATAGCAAACTGTGAGGAAAGGTATGGTCTTTACTCATTGTTCTGTCAAGCTAAAAATGAAACAAACCCAAACCATACTAAATAATTAAAAGTGAGTTACCTGAAGCATGCAAATAACTATTATTAACTATTTGCTGTTTATGCTGGATTTCCAGACATCTGTCTCTTACTTTGTAAGGAAGCCAAGGTCTGATCTATGACATTTTACCTTATTTATACGCAGTATGTAACGACATCCCTACTTCTGTAACATAGCAGATCAAAATGAGCATTGTAAACCGCCTCCCTTTTTTCTGAAATAAGTTTTAAATACATCCTGTTCCCTCCCAGCAACTCTGTAATGAAGCTAACTGGCAGTGCTCAGCCTTACAAAAATAATAAAGAATGCGTATCCTCCCAAGAGTCAGGCAACTGTCTCTTCAGAATTGCTCAAACAGATAGGAGCACCTGTAAAACTGTAACAGACAGGAGGGTACCTTTTATGGTGCTTGAATCACTGCTTCCTTCTACATAATTTCATTCAATTTTTAACAGTGATTCAACAAGGACTATTAGGTATAGAAAAACTGCTTAGCTGTTGCAGAGGGACTTCATTGCAACTACTTGGAGCAGTAAACTACAATTTCTGCATCAAAGTGCTGGCAATCATCTGCATGTGAGCTTTTGATAAACACACTTTCAAGAAGAATCTCATAAATATGTTTACTAGAGTTTACACTTGGGTAGTTCCAGTGAGGAATTAGAGCCCCACGAACCTTGTGATTTCATTCCATCATGATGGCAGATGCCTCTTGCCAGCTGCGAACAGCTTGAGTAACAATCATTCCTTTTTCTCCTTGTCCTCTCCTTCCTCCTCAAGCCCTGCTCCTACTCTTGAAGAAGTAAATGCCTGGGCTCAATCATTTGACAAGTTGATGCTTACTCCAGCTGGCAGAAATGCTTTTCGTGAATTTCTACGAACAGAATTCAGTGAGGAAAACATGCTTTTCTGGATGGCCTGTGAGGAACTAAAACAAGAATCCAACATGAGTGTCATTGAAGAAAAAGCAAGACTGATTTATGAAGATTATATTTCTATCCTTTCTCCAAAAGAGGTATTACTTTCCCCAGTACATTCTTTGATGCTGCTTTGCACAGTTAGTTCTAGTGTGTTTAAAGCTACAACAGTACTCAGGGAGAACTTCCCCCCAGTATTCCACTGCCAACAAGTAGAGATTTAGGGAAAAAAGGCAGACCCATTGTTGAGGTGAGATGGTCAAAACTACTCCCACTGGCTGTAAGGTAGTTCTTCCTATGTTACACTGGCATGCTGATGTGAAATCTTTAATTTGAAGCACAAATATACAGATGATCCCTCTATCCTTGCTCAACTTAAATTTTGTTTGTTGAACAAATCAGTTTCTTTTTCCTTTGCACTAGGAAGGGGGTGCATTCATCTCAAAGCACAGTAACCACAAATAAGTGTTATTTGCAAAGCACAAATTGCTCAAAGAGCAACTGACAAAATATGGCACAGAACAAACACACTGACTTCCTGAAAATTTTCAAAACTACTTGTCACTTTGCTGTTAGCCAGTATGTCAAGTTTTAAAGATACCTCAGTTCAGTTTGAATATAATCCTGCCAAGTAGGGTAGAATTTTAAACCTTCTAATTTCCTTGCAAAACTCAAACTTAATTATTTGCAGCGCAAGCTATACTTAGGTACTTATTAAAATGTTGTTTAAATCTAGGCAGTCTATTCCAGTAATACTAATATCTTCCTACAGAGACTAGAGCCTTGCAGGAAAAAAAAAAAAAAAAACCAAAGCAAAACAAAAAATAAACAACAATTACATTACTTGTATGCTGTATGGAATCATTATATAGCCATACCTGTGGTTCACATCAATTCACCCTGCTTTTTAACACAAGAATTTGAATAAGCAACAGCTTCCAGGTTACAGTTTCCATGTGTCATAATGCTTACTCCATATTCAGTCTATTTCTAACAGCACTAACTCCCAGGGAAACAAACTGTCACAAAAAATTACAAATCCTCTACTACAGAGCATGAAGTTGGTCTGGAAATAGTCTGCCAGTCTCTCAGTAACGGGATTGCAGGCAGCCTTGTTCAAACTAAGATCGCCTCAGTGAGAACATTTCTCTATCCATACTCTAGAGATTACCACTTCCAAATTTCACTACAGTATTTTTTTTTTTTTGACTAAATAAATGTATTTAGCAGTTTTTACACTCCTGAAGGACACCAGCTGAAATGGTTAAAAAAAGACCACTTTTTCAGGCAATACAACCAACCTGAAAAACCATGTGTACTACTAACCACTATTATTTACGTGACTTTTTATTTTAATATGCAGGTCAGTCTGGACTCCAGAGTAAGAGAAGTTATTAACCGAAATATGCTGGAACCCTCACAACATACCTTTGATGACGCACAGCTTCAAATTTATACCTTAATGCACAGAGACTCCTACCCACGGTTTATGAACTCTGCTATTTATAAGGACTTGCTTCGGTCCTTATCTGAAAAACCCACTGAAGCATAGAATTTTTTCTTAAATGTATTTATTAAGAAAAAAAAAAAAAAAAAAAAAAAAAAAAGAACTCTAGGCTACACCAATCCACAGGGAATATAGAATTAATCAGATATTTACCTGAAAATAACTCAGGCAAGTTTTGCTACAGACTGAATGATTTAAACCTGCACAAGGCTCTGACACAATCACCTAACTACAGTTTCTGATCAAATTCAGTGTTACTTTGCAAAAGAGAATGAAGATGCAATGTTGCTGTTCAAAAAAAAATGCAGTACTTTTTTTCAAATGATGCAAGTCTCTTATATTTCTGAGGTACAAACACCAACTGAGCATGAAAACTAAATTTTATTTAAGTGGAGTGTTAGAATTTTCTTGAAAACCAAACTATTTCCCCCATCAACACCATGACGAAAGTAAAAACAATACTGTCAATATCTGGGTTACACTAGACAAAGTTTCACATATTGTACCTGGCACAGGTACACTCCACTTGTCTTGGTATATTTAATGCGTATATGGTATGCTAATGGAAATCAATATGGCAATCTCAAGCTTATGAAAGCTAACCGTTGAAATAATGCTGCCTATAAAAATCTTTTGCTGAAGAATTGTTATTTTATTACTAGAGTCTGCTGAAAGCATTTTTAAGTTATATTGTTGATATTTATAAAGTTAAATTATTTACTTAAGAGGAAGAAGAGTCTGGGCATTTAAATTCCAAAATAAAGCACAAGAATTCTCACATATTATTCTCTTCCCTCAGTAGGTAGATGTAAAAACCTTTCACTATTTGCTCCCAAGAGGATGGCAATATCAACCATCTTGGTTTTGTACATACTAAACTCTCCCATTACCCGATAGATCATGGGAGATTTCTATTACAGATATGCACACATTTAAGTGACAAAATGATGAAGCTGGAACTACTTTGTTCTGACACAGAACTATTTCAGACTGTCCAAAAGAAAAGCAACAGCTCCATCCACTAATAAACCATTTTCATTTACAATATCCCCAAAGCATTACATATGATTTCTGGTCCTATCTCCAAATCAATAACTACAGGAAGTACTAGGAAAGAAGTAAGTTGAATCTGCATAATCTATGTGTACACCTGTTATTAGAATAACTTATTTTAAATTACAAGATTCACTACAATTCCACTATATTAAACTTTAGAGTTTATAGTGGACTCCACTGATTTGCATTTTTTTCCTGCATGTTTACTTAAATGAACCAAGTCACACACGTAGGTATGAAAAGGACATAAGGGGAACAGAAAAAAAAAATACCCTAGAAAGGAAGAACCAGACAGGCATAGTTCAGTGACATTTACTGTAGCCTTTCTAAAACCTACTCTTTGCCTAATTCCAGCACTATGAAAAGCACTTCTCTAAAAAAAGGAAGTGGGAGTAACAAGGCAGAATTTAGGAGATCAGCTTGTTTCTTCAATGCACTCGGCAAGACATATATCCTCCCCTCACTGCATTTGCATTATTAAACAAATAATGGTAAGATTTTCCATTACATAGCACCACAGGAGATGACCTGATACACAGTAAGTTAACAATAGCTATGGGTTGGGTTGGAAGGGACCTTAAAGATCACCTAGTCCCACCCCCCTGCCCCGGGCAGGGCCCCCTTCCCCCAGCCCAGGGGGCTCCCAGCCCCGTCCAACCTGGCCTTGAACCCTTCCAGGGAGGGGGCAGCCACAGCTGCTCTGGGCACCCTGGGCCAGCTCCTCACCCCCTGCACAGGAAATAATTTTTTCCCTTATACCTAATCTAAACCTACCCTCAATCAGCTTAAAACCATTAAACCTTCCAGATAGAGCCCCTCTGCATCTTTCCTGTAGCCCCCTTTAAGCCCTGGGAGGCCACTATAAGGTCTCCTCAGAGCCTTCTCTTCTCCAGGCTGAACAACCCCAACTCTCTCAGCCTGCCCTCAAAAGGAAGCTGCTCCAGCCCCCCAAGCATCTTCACAGTCCTCCTCCTCCACACCCACTCATGTCCTTCTTATGTTGGGGCCCCAGAGCTGGACCGAGCACTGCAGGTGGGGTCTCATGAGGGTGGAGTGGAGGGGGAGAACCCCCTCCCTCGACCTGCTGGTCACACTTCCCTTGATGCAGCCCCGGACACGGTTGATTTTCTGGGCTGTGAGCACACATGGCTGGCTCATGGTCAGTTTTCCATCCACCAACACCCCCAAGTCCTTCTCTGCAGGGCTGCTCTCAATCCACTCATCACCCAGTCTGTATTTCCATCATCTCCTTCCAAAAACAAACCAGTACTCTACATGTCAACATAAAAAAGTAAACAAAAACTCAGACAGCAAATCAAAGTGCTTTTGCCCTCTTTAGCACGGCACTGTATGACTAAGTTAAGAGGAAGCCCTTCTATACACCACTACTTAAGATGGTCCAATTAGCAGTCAACACTGCTTAACTTACCAACACTGGGTATCTCAGCTGAATTTCCCGTAAATGTACCAAAAGCACTGTATCAATACAGTTTCAGTTCAAAATATTACACGATAGGTAGTAACTTCAACAAAACAAACCAGATATATCAGTAAGGCAGCATTCATGGGGAGCTTGCAGTAAGACTGACAATGCTGTACTTGTTTTAATCAGGGTGGCTAAGAGTGCTCTAAAACTCTAAGTTGACAAAATAAGTTTAAGTAGGTCACATTCAGCTTGCTGGAAAGATCAGACACACACATCAAAAACAGTTCAAATTGTGTCATTTTATGAAACTGAGGATTTAATTTCTTTTAAGTTAATTCTCTTCCCTGCAAAGATACCTCATTAAGAGCTGGAAGGCAGACCAAAACACTCATACCATATATCAAACAATGTATTCTATTTTTCTGCAAGAAAAAGTTGCAATGAAATTAGAGGGAGAGAAAGCTATCATGGTTTGGGCAGGTCTATGGTTAACATTAGATTATTAAAAGAAGAAAATAATAATTTATAATCTTATTTTCCATGTGCCCCAACTTCTAAGCAATTACAATTCTCCAGGAAATTTTCATTTTACTTCTGCATTACAACATGCTGACATTTGTAATGCACATCTTTCCCAAAAAGTGCTAACAAATTTTAATGCAGTGTTGTAGGTTTAAGCTTACGCCCAACACCAATAGCAGAATGCTGGTCCTTTATGCCCTAAGAGTATCTCTCAATACTCAAACAACCCACTCCTCTAAATATTTTGTTATTTTGAGGCTGTTCAATGCAGGATTTAATTGGGGGGGGAGGGGGGGTGGGGGGGTGGTGGTGCAGAAAGAGGAAAACAAAAACCCACCTGCACAGAAGGCAGGTTCTTAACTACATTTCATTACTATATACTTGCTCATTATGCACAAACTTTTTCCATGGCAAATACAAGCTGCACTGAAAAGTTGCTATAGACAAGCTGTTACATGAATAGCAGGAGAAAATCATATTGACACAAGATATTATTTATAATTCATCAGGTAAGAAATTATCACAAAACCAATTTATCCTAGCTTGAAAATAAGCATGGTTGACTTGTCTTGGTATTTATCTAACTGCAGGGTATCATTAAGCTTTAACAGCTTTCCAGTCCACTGGTATTCTTTCTTCAATGTCTGCACTTCGCAAACCAGGAACTCCTACAGAACATGCAGACTGTTAGACTGCTCTTTTCACCAGCCTGCTAAGCAGTATTAAAATTGCATGGGCTCCTTAAGCCAACATACTGTGCTTTACACTGACCTTTAAATTCCAAAGTCATTAGCACAATACAAATGAAGATTGCATATTTTTTCAAATATATCCTGAAGGGCTCTACTGTATAAGGATAGATTAAACTTTATCACACAATCATGTACTTATGCACTTTCTGATGACAAAGGATATCGGAAAAAGAGAAAGTGATGAGAAAAACTATCACAATGGGAAGTAATCTTTAAAGTTTCTTCTAAACAGTGCTTAAGAACATGTCTTCTACCATGGTATCAGTATCATTTCAATATTAACAGAAGATTTTCTATACTAATGAGGCAACTAAATTAATCCCAAGCCTTTTAAAACACTAAAACAATTCAAGATTAGTGATGATGCAGTTAAACTGAAACCGGTATACAGCTGTATGAACTTGTACTTGAAGCAGTAAACTCCTCAGGTTTATTTATGTGAATGACTACTAATGACCCATTTCAAACTGCATGCATTTGACAGGTAATACAACCCCTTAATGCAGAATGAAGACTTCATGTTGATGAATTTAAGTTCTACCTCAACTGGTATGGATTATAGGTTTCAATTTAAAGTTCACATACATGACCACAAGTGGAATCCTTAACTGGATAAAAAACAGGCACTTCCTTCACCGTGTTTGGGCAGTGCAATAGGGCTTCAAAGTGGGGCTCATGAAAGCCAGGATCACTGAGCAGACATTTACCTCCTGCTTAGTGCTAGTCAAAAAGAATCATTCAGTACAAGCAATTTTAAAACCCACGCTTCCTCCTGAGCAAATTAACAGAATTACATATAACGAAATGCCTTCTAATGAAGGATCCAGAAATTGTGTTTTCTGAGCAGCAGAAATCTCTAGTCTTCCTTACAGAAGAGAGGCGGCATCCTTAAAGATCTACACAGACACACTTTAAAAGGAATACGGACCCCTGTTTCTCTACCACATTGGTGTAGAAACTAGCTTAAGTTGTAGGGCAACTATTTTCCAGTCTATCTTTTATCTGAGAGGATACAAATAGCAATCAAGGTAATAAACAAACCTGCTATTCTTGGATGGGAGAGGTTCATCCCCAGTTCTGTCAGCAAGTTTCACTGCGTAAGAAATACAAATGTACTGGGTCAGTTGTAGCACAACTGCAGCCCAGTAAATAAGCCAGTCAGGGAAACAAAATACTGTCCTGGTCCCACCTCTACATCCTTCAGACTACGCATCCTCTCTGATAGTGGAGGGCAATTTCAGACAACTGGGAAAACTGAAGTACCTGTTGAAAAGAGGTGCAAAGCTCACTGCTGGGCAGTTTTATTTTTGGATTTGGGTAGACAAAATGGAGCATGAATAGAATTTAGGCACCTATGATATTTTTTGGCTCTAGTTCTTGGACTTCACCTTTCACTGCAAGAAAGAAACTGTCCTTTTTACCTCAGGGACAAAAAAAGAGAAAGTCTAAAGGCCGTTGCCCAGCCATATGGTAACATTAGATGAAACAACATTTTATTTGAAATCCTACATCACAGAAAGCGCTATCACAATTCTAGTTCTTTTAATAAAGTCCAGATATAATTTGGTACGTACAGAAAGTCAATTACTATCTCTTCCTCAAAAGGTAATTCTCTTAAGTGTCACAATCAGGCATAAAGATTAAAGGGCACTTAGTATAAGAAAGGTCATGCAAACCAACCTGTGCCTACCCTGTATATATGCTGTGAAGAGCAGTAGAAACTTAGGTCTACTTGCATACAGTTTGCAATAATTTTTAACACAATTTTTTTGACTTGCTCCTTTAGAAGGGTCCCCAAGAAAAGCACTGTAATTGATATTAAACATCTGTCATTGGTTTGTTGCTTTCTTGCTGTCTTAAACAACTAGAAAAAAACCCCAACAATTACGCATCATCAAGTAACTCTTAAGATGCAATCTGCCACAGGACATACACAGGGTAAAAATAAACCTATTCTATTAGTAGAAAAAAAATAACGTTGTCTGAATTAGGGAATTAATATCAAATCAATTCAGTTAAAATCATTTTATATAAAGTTATGCAAGAAACTTTAAATGCTGAACAATTTTCTGCCTAAAGAATGTTTATATCTAAACTACTTCTACTTGACTATTTTTCCTTTCAGAGGAGCCACTTTCCCTTCCTTCTACAAGCTGACTGGAAAAGCTTGTTCTGTAAAGAATTTACCAAACACTTCTCGTCTTGCTAAGCAAAAGTGCCATCATACTATTTCCAACTCATTTGTTATAATTGCTACTATCACGCAAAAAATATTCAGCATAGAACAATGTGGGTTTCCTTTATAATCAAGGCATTTATTCTCCAAAAATCACTGATACTCTTCCCATCCTGCCATGAATCCTTTACACATTGCCGGGATAGACCTCTTCAATCCCAGGCTTCGATAAACTACTACGATAAAAATGCTATAAATTTAGGTATAATGAAAGAATTTAATCTCTTCTAAAGATGTTGACATTTTTCCTTGAAAGCGCATTCAAAAATACTTCTAAACATGTGCACTGTTAATCTAACAAAGCAGTATTTATATCATTCCATATATGGAAAAGACCATAACTTTAGTAATTTATTCTCACCTGCATGTCTATGATTGAAATCCAATATTCTTGTATCTCAAAACTCAGTTCATGAACAAAATTGATGTCATTTATATGAAGCAAATTTAATATTACTTCCCCAGTCAGTTTATGTTGTGATGAATTGGTTGGCTGGTGTTAATAAGACAGCCTACAACACAATGTCTTTTCTTATTTAAAGTCTAAACCAAACTTGGCTGTCAAGCACATTAAGCAAAACTGAACACTCAAAATAAGATTTAACCAGCTATTTGAAGACATTCCTAGAAATAATACCTACTGATAGAATGTAAAATACATTCTTTGGGTCATAAAATATAATGAATTAATCAAAGCTGTTTACATAAATAAGCTTAACTAACCATTGTAAAAAAGAGGTCATTATATCCACTAAGTTTCCGAACTCCATGACCACAAATTTAGTCCTAATTCAGAAACAGTACATACAAACTAGAGAGTTAACTAAATTGTGATTTAGTTAACAACTGAGTTTAATGTAATTAGATGAAGTTACATACCTTTTCTCTTTGCAAAATTAGTGAACACAGCAGCAAGAAACTAATTCCATTCTTACAACTGAACAAATGTGGAGAGATAAAATACATATGGGAAGAGCGTGTATGGTTCAGACTGCAAAAAATACAGTACATTATTCACATAGTTAGAAAAAAACAAGCCAATTACCCAGATGTTTAATTGGTAAAAGTTTAATGTCAACTTACTTATAAAAATGAAAAAATATTTTAACATTCACCATACAATTGAGCAACCTGGCCCTACTATCAGCTATAGGAAGCCATTTAAAGAAATGATGGCTGTGTCAAAACAAAAGCTAACTTCAAGCATGTATGCTGTTTAAAAAAAAAAAACAAACCAAAAAACCTCTCGTTTGCAGAAAGCTAGATGCTTAGCCTAGTTTTTTAAAGCTAATTACAAAATCCTCTTTCATACTGGTCCAGATGTCTTGACAATTTCTTCTTCTAACAGAACTGTCAAAAGAAAAGAATTTTTATGAGATCTTCACACAGCTTATTTCTAAATCTTTACAAGAAGAAACAGAAATATGACACCATACTTAGGATATGGAAATTACTAGTTAAAGCATTTGCTTATAACACATCTATTCCTTCACTCAAGCATCTTTATATGGACACTTTTGTAACCACCGCCTTACAGAAGGTTTTAAGGACAAATTGATTTTTCTGGGTACTGCATCAAACAATTTCTAAGCTTTATAAATTATTTAGATATCTTGGAGTATAGATTTGAACAATATTCAGTAATAAGGTATGTAAAACAAGATTAAAAATATTTTTTTCTATGTAGTAATCTTAACTTATGCTGTGTAATATGGTTCTGCAGAGCTGCAGGATTAACACAGAAAAATAACAGAATGAGCATGCAATATGAAGCATGATACACTATCACATCTTAAATTGTAAATTTTACAGGCCTTCACTTCAGTGTTTCTCCACTCTGACTGCCAGTGTACATTAGAAGCTTTTACAATTCCCATTTCCTGACCTTAAAAAATTTAAATCAAGTGATCACTGCCCTACACTTATCCTGACAAAGGAACATAGAGGCAGTCATCTCTTCTTTACCCCCTCTTCAGAGTAACAGAAAAACAGTCAAAACAACAACAAGAGGTCTAAAAAGGCCTATTCCACTCCTCCAATCAGAGATTAAAACTAGAACATCTTTGGGTGAAGAAATAGAAAACAGTGACTAACTTGCTACTACTTTGTACGGCAGAGCAACACTGTAACTAAAGGTCATAAGGACTAAGTCAATGTCCTGACATCTCTCTGCCTTTGCCACTGCCCTACTTGTGTGATCTCAACTTCAGTCCAAAATACTTTTCTAACCTAAAACTATTTTACAATATCAACATGTATTATCGTTAACGGGCTAAGAAATAACCAGAAGCCAACAGAAATTCATTTGTCATTTACTGTAAACCAAAATTAAGCACAGAGCCTGGCTGTCTGCTATCAAATATGCAGAGCAGTCTAACAGTCTTACCTTCCATCTGTTTCCACATTCATTACAGACAACAAATGTTGTCATGGGTTCATCAGCACTGCGGGTTTGAACCTTTGAAAAAGGCAAGAGCCAGAGCAGAAAAGGAAAATTAGTATATTCAACTTTCGTTAGTATGTGTTCAACGTAAAGGTTTAAAAAAAAAAAAAAATATCAAAGTTTAACATTAAGGAAACACACTTGTATAAAAATACCAGTTAACTTTCCATGTCAATCGAAACTTTTTTTTGTCTAGCCTATAAAATGATTATAAACCTATGTTTTGACAGATTTAGTAGCACTAAAATACCAATTTCAGCATAGAAACCGCGCACGTACTTCTAGGAAAAGATTCTGCAGTAAAATTACATGTTCAGTACAGCTTTACATATATTTACTGATGCAGAGGCCTAAAAGTCTCATGACTGAAAAACAGTTTTCTACTTAGAGCATCTGATATACAATATTAATTTATAAATGCAGCTGATCCTATGACCAAAATTACATGCCCTGAAGCACTGCTAAACAAGTTAATGCCTTTCTTGCACATATTTCCTAATTATAATAGAAAAAGGTTATAGGAATGATTGTAAATCAGGGTCTAGTGTTAATCAAATGGTAGCTTTCTAAAATATATAAAAATATACATGTATATCTGATTTTTATTTATGTATTGCTATTTATTCCCTCTGTAAAGGAAAGCTTACACACAATAAAACCAGTAAACTAGATCTCCTCCATATAAAACCATGTAAGACATAAAAAAAAATAGCAAAAACTCAGCATTGCGAAGAAACTGAGATTTCAGGCTATATAGCTACTCAGCTTGGATTTACCTCAAATTTTTGATAAATTAGTACAACAAACACTATTTACCTAAGCACACCTAAGGAGATCCAACTATCTTCACATACTTTGTAATTTGTTAGCATTATGTTAAAACTTCATTTTGTAATTCAAACTTTTTTTCTCTGACAATCTTTACATAGGACTTCGAAAAAGGAAAACAAAGAATCTGAATAACCATGTACCTGGGTGTATGTACAGTTCTTCTTTTTGCACTTGCCACATGTAAACAGATCAGTTTGGGTACCTCCTGTTTTAGCCATCTGGTGCTCTCTGATAGCTTCTTTGGTCAGATTTTTGCGCATTTCTTTCAGCTCATCACTTGCCATTTCCTGTTACGGATAACAAGCAGAGTTTACTAGAGAGTTTTAGTTTAAGAAAGTCATTACCACTGTGCAAGTCCATACCATTTTTTATTTAGAGATCACAAACAACTCTACTGAAGGGCAAAGTAATTCTACACATTTTTAATCTTACAGGAATTAATTTGGGATATTTCACAGCAGAGAAGCTACAAAAAGTTAAGTGTTGGGGGTTTTATGCAGCTAGGGAAAAAACAAAACAAAAAAAAACAGTATGCATTACAATATCAAACACCTAGAAGCATTTCTATAGAAACGCATTTCTGAACTTCAGAAGGTAGAGGACTTAAAAGTCCTCCAGAGAGAAGGAAAAAGATCCCCTCCCAAGGTTACATCCTTGCATAATTATCTCATTAACCTACATAAGTTTATTATTGGAAAAATTTACACTATTTTGACTATTTCCATATTTGTACTAAGAAATACAGTATAATTTACCATATGTTACCAGAAGTCATATACACTTAGTTTCAAAACACTAACTGATGAGCTCAAATTCACCAAATTTCTTTTCCTTTAAAACATTTCTAGTGACCAGGATCTCCACAACGTATACTGATCAAGCATGCACATCAAAACCAAGTTGTTCAGTTCTTCTCCAATAAAGTTTCACTCCACATCCCATGTAGATGTGGTATGCAAACCTTTTATTAGTGCTGCTTCACTTTAGAAGTAACCTTAACAGTAAGTTTTTTTTTAGCCATTAAAATTTTAATCCAAGACATTCAAACAAAGAATGTGCACTGGATAACACAACGCATATGTTCATGGATATGTATATACATGTAGAACAAAAAAACCTCAAAACATGTACTGAAGATACAATCTACTGTTCTTCAGACATTCCTTTATCAGTTTGTTTGTCTTAACCTTTACATAAAGCTATAGAAAGAAAAAAAAAAAAAAACCACCACCACACTTTCCTTTAAAATGAAGCTAATCATGATTTTCATTACTTGATTATAAATTTAATTCCTTTCAGTCTCCAAGAGACTCCTTTAGACCTGACTGGGGATGGGGGGCGGGGGGGGCTAGAATCCAATGCATACAATCAGAAATACAAAACTGAAACAAGATGTTAACTGTGGTTTTGTTTTTCTCTCCCATAACATCTAATTTATCATTTGACTTCCTAGATTTATTTTTATTTGTAAAGACAGCAGGCATCTTAATGGGAATTTCTATTCAAGTGTCCAAAGTGTTCTTCCAATAAAATAAATTTAATTTGATTTAAAGGGCAATTCTTCTAGCTTCTACCCCCTATCATTTATGGCTTTTTCTATTTATTGTTAAGAGTTTCCTTCAAAATCACTGGAAATATTCAAGAGAGATTCAAGAGATAAGCTTTAAATAAACGCTGAAAATGTCAACAGGATAGGGACTGATCTTTAAAACCACAGTGATATACCTTGTATAGGAGTAAGCAGAAGAGGTTAGCATTTGAAAAACAAATGGCAAGACAGGCTAACACATGTTCAGAAAGGTGAATGGGTAAGCAGTTTGGAATCACTAGTCAGTCATATTTACATCTTCCTAAACTTAAAGAACTATCACCGATATACCACGTGGCCTTTTAAAAACAGCACAACATACCATGTTTCAGGAGATGTACAAGTAACAGCTTACCTGTCTTCTGACTTAATCAAAATCAGATATTTATGAACCATTAACAGATACCACTTTCATTCCCTCTGCCCCAACATAGCCCTGTAATTCAGACTCTGCAAGCCACAAACAAGCCAGTCTTTCAAAAGTTCAGGCAGCTTACGTGAATTATCTTTATGGCTAGTAAATACAGGCCAGGATGTAAGTCGAATAGGGAAATAGTTCAAAACCTATGCTTTACTTACCTCCGCTGTCATTTTGGCAAACTTGTCAGGAGGAATGTTCCCACATAACACATTTTTCCTTAGGTTAGGGTTCTTTGCATCCTTGAGATTCGCTATTCTACTTCGTACCCTATTTTTGTATTTCATATCAGTGTTTTTTAATTCTTGAAAAATAGGTGCTTTGGATTTAAGGAACAAAACACTGACAAGTAAAGCAGAGCATTACAAAGGATTCATTTTCGGGGAGCAACTTTTTGAAAGCAGTGTACTTCTCCACTGTTGATCAAGTCCTCCCCCTCATCTCAACCAACAGTTACTTTCCTGTTCAACACAGAGTTCACATCCTTCTGAAGCCTAATCACAGTTTAGCACATGGTCAGTGAAATGTGAATTTTTGGTTAGTAGGATCTCAATTGAAATTGTGAGAAGTGAAATTGTGAGAAGCCACCCATAAGTTCATGTCCATTTCCTTGACCACAACGTGAAGATTAATTGATTTGTAAACCAAATACTCAAAAACTGGCAGCTCACTAACATGATTTTAAAACAGGTTCGCAACAGAAACAGGAAATACCTTAACAGGAATGGTGGATGACTATAATTACTGAAGGACATTAGCAAGTTAGAATCATGAAGCTTAGACTGTTTCTACATTTAAGAATATCCCCGCCCGCCCCCCCCCTCCAAAAAAAAGTCTAAACCAAAAAGAAGCCTAGACCTCTGCTCTGTAACTGTTCAAATGCTGCTACCACAACAACCCTTTCCAAAATTCCAAATTCATTTAGAATTAAACTTGTAAAAAATTAAATAAAGACATCAGAAACAGATTAGAAGTGTTAACAAGAGATTTAAAAATAACATAGAAGAGGCCAGCATTTTATGTTGGAATGCCTCAGTAAGATATAAGATTGCTGCTGCAAGGAAAACATACTGAATTGAAAAAAACCCACACATTCACCTACACACATTCCTACATGTTTTAAGGCAAATCATTTAGGTTGTGCTGGTTTTATAAACACTAGATTTCTACACTGCTGTGTTGAACAGTTTGCTATTTTTGTTTTAAATTAAAAAATATTCAATATGTTGATCAAGTTAATCAAACATTAGCAATGCTTTTAAAAAATACTCTTGTTCTAGAGCATAGATGTACAGCAAAGGATATCCTCTTCAATCTGAGAACCCAGCTCTTCCTCATCAGCACCAATAGCAATGTAATCATCTGAGGAAAACAAGTATTAAAATATTAGCAACCTGACAATCTCAGTGCTCTACATCGCTGAGAGTCTATTCATAACTCTGCAACTCAGCAAATTATGAAACAATGGCAGTGAATTTTTCTTTTGTATAGGAAAGTTTAATTTACTGTATACTTATCCTTTCATAACTTCGTTAACTTATTACTTGGAATAACAAAAATAAGTGAAACTAAGAGCAACAGAAGTTTAAAAAAGTAGGACCACCCTAAATCTTTCACAGAAATAAAAATTCTGACATTGAGTTGTAAACACAAGTAGTAACAAAAAACTTCAAATACTCTAATAGGCTTGGCAAATACCCATCTCCAGAGCATAACTGTGCACAGAATAGACTATTAGCAAAAGAAAATGTTTTGTATTGTGTTTCATCAATTCTCTCAGTCCACACAATACAAGCACAGCAATTAATGTTTTGCATGCATGCAAGAGAGATTTCCTTAGAAACATAGTAATTAAATAACAGAAGCAATATTAATAGATATTTCAAAAAATGCAGAGCAGAGATGTCACAAAACATGTATATTAGAAGAAATAAACCATAGCAATCCTGAAGACAATGCAACACTTGACCTAAAATGTCTCAAGACAACTGTTTACTGTTTCTGACCAAAACCTTTACATATAAAGACAGCTGCCTTTCCAAGATAGCTTAGGACAAATTAGATACAGCAGGTGTTTTCCTCCTTCTCATTTTAATATGGGTATACTTCAGTGAGTAATCCAAACTCCTTCAATCTCATGCAGAAGGCCATAAAACCAGATGATTACCTTATTTTTTTGAGATTGGCATTCAACCCTTGGATGATCAGTTTATATGTGCTGTAGAAAGTAACACAGCAAAAAGAGCCCTTGGAAAATGAGCTAAAATTAAGACTACATAGAATTATGAATACTAAGATGCTCTATACAACTTTCTGGTCACAAATTATTTTATAAGTCTATGAACTATATATCCAGAGGACCACAAATTCATGGTCTTTAGTCAGCTTTGATTATTGTCTGTATCTCAATGTATGTGAATTTAAAGAAAGAATAAAAGAGTAAAGAGGGTAAAAATAGATGATTCAGAAGTCTGCTTACAGTGGGTCAGGCTGGTTATACTAAGCTAAGAACAGAGGAACAGGAGCTGGGTCATAAGTTCTGACAGAAGAGAAAGACCCACAATAAAAAATTCAGGTAATTCTGAGGAGTCCACAAGGAACTTACAGATACCCAAAAGGTATGAAGATAGAGCAGAGCAAGACTCTTACTGTGAGTACGTCAATGAAACTTCAAGATTAAATCAAAACAGAAAGCAGCCCTCAAAAACCAAAATCTGAAGGCCCACAGGATCTCTGGTGTAAGACAGGCATGTATACAGTGGCACCCTCAATCAGAGAGAAGACAAAAAAACAGCTTCCACAAAAATACTGAAATGAGGCATGAAGGAGGCAATAACTCTCCTGAAAAGAAGTCTCACTGTAGGCAAGGTATCAGATGAACAGAAGCCACAAAATGTCCCATAGCACCAGCAACAAAAATGTATTTCAATACATCCCCATGCTGTAAAGGTTACCCATTACTATATAAACACAAATGGACACAAACAGGGTTTATTCTACCTTATGGGACAGGGGAAAAAAAAAAAAAAAAAAAAAAAAAAAAAAGAGTGGAAAGGACTGAAATAAAGGAGGAAATAGTTAAACTTGAAAATATAAACTATAGAGCTCACCTCCTGTTCTGAGAGCTGCAGAGAGCATTTCTCTACATTTCACTCGTACAGAATCCGAAGTGCTTGGAGCCCGGGGAAAAGAAGGGATGAAAGAATTTGAGGGAGCACTACCCTCCTCCTTCCTGCTGCTGGAATTGCTGCTCGAACTGCTAAAAAAAAGGCAAAAAGAAAACTAATAATAGTTTATCCCCCCTCTTCAAATAACTTTGCTCCAGGGCAAAACACAGCCATTTTGCTATATCCCTTTGAAGGTATTCCAAAAAAAGAACACAGGCTACCTTTTTAAGGCTGAATTCACATAAATTTAAAAGTGTCTTTAGAATATTCACCCGGGTATTCCACACAATAGAGACACAGCATGTATTTCATTCCATTATACGGCACAGAGGTTTTAGCTCTCAGTTCTCTGCATTATCACAAGATCTCTTTTTTTCTCTCATGGAACTTTACTTTAAAAAACAGTGAAGATACATCACACTAACATTCACTCTGCAGTGAATGTATTGCCTTCAGTCTGCTTACTGTACTGAAGTGGTACCGTGGCCACAAACTGTAGCTGTAGACCAAGAAGTTTCCAGCTTGCATCAGGATAAATGGTTATAGGTTAAATTTCAATTTGAAAATCACTGCTGGAAACAGCTTCACTAAAACCAGAAATGTATAGAAGAAGTGGGCTTGCAGTTACTGTTTTGAAAATGTTCTTCAGCTCCTACAGTGTCATTAACGTGGGCCCATTTTTCTGGTAACACGTATTTTTGTGTTTTCCAAAAAAAGTGTAGAATGAGATTATTAAACATAAAACCTAACAGAAAAGAAGCATTCTAAACCTCTAATGTATGCAAATACCACAAAGCTGTGACTGAAAGTTGTTTTACAGTTCTCAAAGCTCAGTGCTAGTATTGAGAAAGGAGTATTTGGCAGATGAGACAGATGGAACAAACAATAACTAGTCTGGTCATATCTTGACCTGTGGCTTTTTTTTTTTTTTTTTTTTTTTTTTTTTTTTTTAATGGCAGCAGCAGCACAATTTATTTCCCTAACACCACACCATTTCTTGTACAACACTATGTATTTCAGAAAAGAATTTGGAAGCCATCTCTCACATGACAAATTTGGACCAAGTAGTTTAATGTTAATTTATACTGAGGGAGATTATTTGTATAGTCATGAAGAATTAAGCACCTTTCTTCTTTTGCTTCAGGGCTGTTTTGTGAGGAAGACGCAGCCTCCCTTTTCTTTTCTTCGGATTCTTTATCAGTTGAAGGTCCATCTGGAAATACAAACCATGAAGAACTCTTTTACCCAGAAATAGTAACTGATTTAAAGCAGTGATAAAATATCTTTGATTTCTCCTGAACCAGTTGGAAATGCTATCAGCTCCCACTCTCTGCTTTGACCTTCTCTTGCAGTACAGCCTTCTATTCCCCAACACCCTCCACAACCCAAACAGAAAATATGACAACACCTCACATCCTTCAAGTCAAGTCCAGCATCTGCTTAAACCGGTCATGAAGACATGATGAAAATGTGGACGTTTACAACTTATTTTTGCCAACACTGCTACATGAGGTAGACAACTTCTTAAACTATTGCATCAAGTCTCTGGAGTTTGCCATCCATGTTTTAAATGTAAGTTCCTACTAAATACATGCCGTTCTTTTTAACTGTATTCACAGGCTTTCCTTCTACCAAAGGACTGAACCAAACAAAACTGTGATGTGAAAGCTATCGTGGTTGCCAAAAAAAAATATAATTTTCATATGCTTTTGAAGGAGTTTTCCAGACATGCACACAGTATTTTCTGTGCTAGCTCTTGAATAATTTGCCTTGGTGTTTAAAAATATTTGAATTTGCTTTTCCCAACCAGGCTATGTTTAACGATGATTTTATAAATAATAGAGATGAAAGCCTTTATTAGAAAGGGCAATCACAACATTTAACTTTAGCCTAGCAAGAAAACATACATCCTTCTATTACAGAGTAATTTAGAGTGGCTAAATCAAGCTCCTGATTTGATTTGCTCTCCAGAAAGGCTGACTCTCCACTGCCTACACAGAAAGCCTAGCGAGATTGGTATCACTCACTGACAGATTTTGTGAATTCCTCTCTCCAAGCCCATATAAAGCTTCCATTATACTTCTAAATCCATACACTATATTATTGGGATAAGCATATATTACAAACTAAAAAGGACTAAAAACAGATCAAGAAAAGGAAAAGGCTGAGTCTTTCCCACAAAGATGTCCTGAACTAGGTATGTAAATCCTTGTTTAAGGATCTACAAGTATCCTTATTTCCCAAAAAGCCCCATCCCCACATTTCTCAGCGGAGCTTGGTGGTATGGAACACACCAATTTATATCTCTTATTCCAGCTCTGAGCTCTTCTCCCTTTCCTAGAGAGTAGAAAATTACTGTTCTGGCTTATTTTTAATAGGAACAATTTACATTTAAATCTACACAGGTAAGATTAAACTGAACAGGATTTTGATATTTTCCTTAAGGAATTTATCAAATCAAATATCACTTTGTTAAAAAAAAAAAAAGTCATCATCATCAAAGGAGACCAGAGAGTCATACTAGATCAGATCAAGCACCCATCTACTACTCTGTCTCCAGCTATACATAAAAATAGATGCCTACAAAACACAGTACAGGAATCAGGCAGGCACATAAATATACTTCTCCAGAATCCTTCCCCAGCCTTCAAGAGCTTAAAGGCTTAGTGATTTCCTCACCCACTGTAACTTCAAATACAACCCTTGATAAATTTTCCCATTAAAGAAAAAAAGGAAAATTAAATACAGTAGATGATGCACTTGGATTGTCTTCAAGATAAAGCTGTTACTCAAAAAACTCATAATAGAAATATCAATTTAACAACTATTATTTATAAAAATAACACTAGAAAAGCAAACAAGGCTATAAACTGAATGGACCACATAAGTTCTTTGCTATGACACCTAAAGTGCACAATACAAGAGAAGGAAAACAAATCCCATTTTTAACATTCATATTCACATGACTACTCTCTCTATGGAAACAAATGCTTACACGATAAATAATTTTTTAAAATATTCTAAATAGGCATGTAATCTCATTTACCCTTATTTTTTAAGTATGTGATCATTTTTGTCAGAAGCTTTAAGACAAACTGATAGATCAAACAGGTATCTTGGGGTACAGCTCAGGTTTTGCAGAGCAGCATAGCTGCCTTAAAGCTGAGCTGTGCTTCCATCCATTTACCTCCGTATTTTTTTCTGGCACTCAAGTTGTCAAATTCAGGCCTGACCTAGGTATCTCCTGCTTATTTTGCAACAAATACACCACAGTGGTATAGCCAGCACTACGTTTAATCAAACACTTTCATTTAGTGCAGCATCATTTCTTCAAAGAAGGCAGGCACCTGAGAACATCTGGCAATACCCTGATTGATGCTTTCACTTACAGAGGACAGGGTATACATGAGACACAGGGATAAAGCAAGAGGTAAAAGCACAGCTCTTCCTACACCTGCAGACGAGTCTATGCAAGCACATTTCAAACCAAGGTCAAATTCCAGCAGCCAAGACAACTGGACCTTCTTCAGCAAATGTGTCTTCAAAATTACGATTTCTGTAGTCACTTAGAGAAGAATTTACATATACTTTAGTTTAACCCAGTTTCAGAAATCTGAAAAAAAGTTAATGTTCTCCATTTGCTGGAATTGCTTAAGTGTTTAAGTCATTCACTCTTATGGATCATAAACTGGAAAACACCGAGGGGAGGTGATGCAGTGTCAAGCAGTATTTATTACTGAACTCACACATTAATAAGGATTTCTGATTTTATTAAAATACTGTATTGACAAAAGAGCAGAAAGCAATTAACAGTCTGACAGACAGTATTTCAACTATCCTCTGGGGAAAGGAAAAAAATTATCCTTGAGAAACTAAAAGTCCCTACTAATTAACTTATTTTATATTCAACTGCCAGACTCTTAACACAGGGAAGAATGACAGCTAATGGGAACTACAACCAACCACAGAAATTCTAACAAAGACGGAAAAAAATGGCCCTCTGAAAGATATTCAAAAATTCCAATGATCAAGTGATTTACATCAGGAAGCCTACATAACATCGTAATATTTACATAATATGAATTACAAGTTGCTTTAAAGAGGCACAATTACTTTTTCAACTTAGTACAGATATTAAACTTACCAAAACCTTTTTTCAGAAGCAAACTGAAATTAGCTTTCAATCCTAAAATTGATGACAATTTCATAGTTTAGCCACTGCAGCTTTAGAAGGCCATTAAAAAAAAAAATCCTCAAGCTTTTCTTTTTTTTTAACAACATAAGCTAATTTATATTAATGCTTCTTTAAAATACAAAGAACAAGCTAGCAACATGAACTGAATATTAGCCATTGGAATAAGACTACCAAATTCTCACTACTATATTGCAGTTTCTATCTGGAGCCTGCAATTAATGTGAAAGATACTGCTACCATTTCCAGTGAAATAATCTCTCCAGGATAAAACATGACATGATAGTGTTTGTTATCAGAACAAACTTTTTAGTGTAATAATATATGGCCAGAGATAACAATTAATTTGAATGTCAGAAGGCATTAATAGCTTTTTTGTAGATTCTTCTAATGATACTGTAAATGAACTGAAGAAATTTACTACTAAGAAGAAAAAATATAAAATAAAAATATTTAATATTATTAATTTATTATTTTTAAGTTTCCAAATTTTTAAATAACTTTTCAGAAATGTTAATGAAAGGTAGCTAGTTATTCCCTGAAAGCACATAAGAATTTAATTTAGTGGGTTATCATATGTTACCGATTCAGACATCACCACCAAAACTTGGAAAGCTTCCTGAGTATTCAATTTAAATAAGCTAAAGGAAAGAGATATGAGAACAGGTATCAGATGGCATAGTCATTAATTTAGCAATGACCCTCATATTTAGTAATCCTACAGGCCCCATTTTCCAGGCTCTGACCAAAATAAACTTGAGATGCACAAGCAGCTACACTTGTCAGTAATTCCTCTGCAAGACGTAGTAAAACATGAAGAAAAGTTTGTTCCTAGTAGTAGCATCGGGAGGAATAATATCTAAGATCTATTACTAAACAATAAAATCATGAACTGTTTGCCATTTTTAAAGATTTTTTTTATGGTGACAGAAGAGCACACCACACAAACTTGTTATACATGTTTTTCTCATATACAGTATGATGTAATTTGCATCATGTGTTATCTCTCTATTGATAATCCTAACAAATTACAGATCTACTAATTTTACATGGAACAGTTCCAAATATACATGACAGGAGGTTACTTCCACAGATTATACTTGATATGGAAATGAAACTACTGAAATAAGATATCAAATAGAATCAAGTGCAAAAATAAAGACACATACTCTTCTTACCAATAGTGAACAATACTCTTAAACACTATGAGACTGTAATTTAAGAACTTCTTTTGCCAATACATTTTTTTGAGCAAAGCCAGTACGTTACTAAGTGTCCTTGAACAACTTTACATAGTGACAGCATTAACATACCTGTAAGATAGTCCTAGACTGTACCACCTTGCTCCAGTAGAATCAAACCCAGGTTCAAAGTAACAAAGGATTGTATGAACAAAATAATCAGAGTAAAGCACCTTTGTGAAGGTTGACTGGTGTTCTCTTGACAACATTAAGCGCTTAAACACTGGTTTAAAATAAAATTACTGAGGCATGCACTTTTCTGAAACAGGCATTTCAAAACATTCATGTCCCTACTTTTAGTTTTTAATACTGGCAACAGATTATCACACTTGCACTTAGCATTAAGATTATTGTCCAATCATTCTGCATTTCCAGTTGAGTACATAAACTTACTGAAGCAAAGGTTACTTAGAGGCCTGGACATTCTTTCACTGTATACTCTGAGTAGAGCAAGTAATTATTTGTGATGGAGAAAGTTAAATTCCCTAAAGAACTTGTTATTTTTTTAATATAAAGGAACACGTCTCATAATCTAAACGGGTATGCATAGATTTATTATCGGCATAGCATACTCTATATACTCAGCTACTCGGCAAAACAATTGTTATTTGCAAATCCTGTGTTATAACTGAAGAGTATTTTATTGAGAGCCAAATTTGCTTATGTAAATCGTGACCAAATTGGCTGTGTGGTTTAACGTTCTTACAGTAACATCTGAAAGCGATCTGCCACTGTAGCTCATCCAGTGAATCACTTCGGACAAGGCTCACAACCCCTCTGCTGAGCAGCTTCTGACCCCCCAAAAAGCCACTGGTAACCTGACATGGCTCTAGTCAAGCCATAAACATCTGGGGATTCACAGCCTTATTTGGGTTTCTTCTCATGTTTCCCATGCATTCTTAAAACTTAAGTTCCGATAGCGTTAAACTTAAACAATACATGCAGCCTGAACAGTCAGCAATGCTTGCCTAAATCCAAAATGTCATTTATAAAAATAACTCACAAAGACTTCAGATCTGAATACAATGCTTGGTACGATTAACAGCTGTCCGCTTCTGTTGCCATCTTTGATCCATACCATTTTACACGCACTATAAACAGCATAATCGAAACTGATTTCTCAAGCAGCTCAACATATGGTATTTCGTATTCTTCTGAGAAATGCAAAACTAATGATAAAACAGAATAAGAGTATTTTGTAAGATTCCCACCCATACTTCACGCAGTCCAGATAAAAATCTCATAACTGTGGAAGATAGGGTAAAGTTCTAATGAATTACTAAGCAGTGAAATAAGAAGCAAAACATTTGCCCTACTACACCTTATTACAAGGTCTACATTACAATCAAGAAGACTTAAACTATGTAAGTTTTGAATACAAGCAGTCATGTATTTTCAGAAATAATTTGATTTTTATATAAGTGCACAACCACAACTACACTAGACCTGGGACAATAACGTACATGCAATATCTGCCCTGTAACAAAAATAAAGAGCATGAACAATGGTCACGTATCACTGTCTCAAGAAGGAAGTATTCAGTTCTGTTGATGTCAAATATTTACTATCTACTTCCCAGCTCCTCACATGTGTGACTTCACCTGCTGCAAGCAGCCTTAGGTAGATTCTCCCAACTGTCTGAAAGCAATCTGAATGCAGTAAGCCATCAAAAGGGGAAGAAGCTCCACCTTGCCCCAGCTGTATGTTACTGCTGCAGCTCCTGTGCAGGAAACAGTAGCTACAAACAGGCTAGACAAAACCTGAGAGTTGAAATCTAAGCCAGAAATTAACAACACAATTAGTTCCCAGCTCTGGTCTCCTGGATAGCCTCTTGAGCACCGGTTGTAGCACATGAAGGAATGAGGCACCTGTGCAGAAGGGAAGCCAGGACCATCCCTTTCAGCAGCAGCCTACATGCAGATTGACCTGCCATGACTGTCAGGCACCATAGGTATATTCCAGACTTCTACAGCATGAGCACCCTCTGGTCCTCAGGCAGGAATAATACTCCTCATGCTTCACAACACTTTAACACTTAAAGATCAGTCAGCTATAAGTAACAATGTATTAAGACAAGTTTGACTGACTCAAGATACTGTGTTAAAAGAGAGACACAAAACTACTTTCACTGTCTCAACAAATAAATAACAATTCCTTTGCTCAAAGGACAGCAATATGCAGAAGTGTTAGCCCCATCCCCACCCCTTATAAGCAGCACCTGAGTGCACTCCCCAATGTTGAGAATTCTGTGGGAGAAAGTATTTCTTCTACTTTATTGCCTAAACTAAGTTGCTTTATCAAAAATTTGTTCTTTAAAGGAAAAATAAAACACCTCAGTAGGGCCTTTTTTTTTCTTTAACGTCGATCAATAACTTGAAAGCTATGTCACTTAATCCAGCTGCTGCTTTTAGAAGTCTTTGGTGTAATTCAAGTTAATATGCAAGCCCATTTCTCCACTTATGTGCCTCACCAGTTCTAGAACTCAGTTAGATAAAACACAGTTGGACTTTAAGTTCTAAGTGGAAATTTAAACATAAAAGTACATGATTTTCACAATTTACCAGTGAACTCTGATGAGATCCTTTACAAGTTAAGCATTTAATTTATAATAGAAGTAATGATCATGATTTTAGAAGGGTTTTATCAGCATATCTAGTATTACCTAGACTTAATTACTAAAACTAACCTAAATTAGTATTATCTAACTTTCTAAAGGTAGGTTAAAGAAATACGTCTGCTGCAGAGGTTGTTGCTTCTTACTAGAATACAGAAGTTGAAAGCAGTGACAAATAGTCAGTTTCTACATACATACCCTGTCGGATGGGTACAAAGTAATTTCTACACTATTTACAAGAAAGTAATAAACTGATAAAATACTTCATAATTGATAAAAACGAGGCTGACTTCAAATGGCTGGGGATTCTAACACTCCCTGGTATGTAGCATATTTTTCTAGACAGAATGGTGAATAGTTAAATCAGCAGAAAATAATGTAAACTGGTTTCCATTTCAAAAATTTAAGCTTCCCAAATCCTAGTTTACCTAAAATTAGGTACAAAGAAACAAAATAGAGTACAGCACTGTATGAACAAAAATACCTGGATACATTTTGAGATTTCAGTGTTTTCAAAAACATAATTAAGTACTACAAAATACCCTTGAATAAAACACTGCTAACAGAAAGGTTTCATTAATTGTATTTATTGCTTTAAGGGAAATTAAAGTATTAACTCACTAACTAGGAAGCTGCTTAAAACTATGAAGGTTTTAGAAAGCACAGATCTATTTCTCATTACCTGTAAGTTCTAACAGATTTTTAACAGCAAATTTTTACTTTTTCTCTTCACAAATCACTCTATAACCAAACTTCAAAGCCTCCATACTCTCATGTGAGATTTTGCACAAGTTCTGCAGAGTACCTGTTATATCTGACAAAGGAAATAGTCAAGAAGAGATTCGTTAGTGCTTAGTACTGCAGTACAGTCACTGTAGCTCAACAGCAGGCAATGAGACTTCAGAAATGAGTCATGTCGTGGAAGCTGGCTTCCTACTGCTTGCCAGCCCCAATAAAACTTTTTCTCTGAATACACTTCCACAGTAATGCACTGGTGATAGTCAAAGAGTAAAAAACAACTACATCAGTGCAGAAAGTTTCAATACTTAAAAGAACACAAATACATCTAAAGCAAGGTAGCGTCAAAGACTTCCATCAAGACTGTGTACAGTTAAAACATGCAAAAGCAGGAAAAATAAAATTCATGTCTCCATACCTAACAGTTTCTTCCAAGACTTGATAAGAGATTTTGCTAAAGATGTAACTTCTTCATCTGTGCTTTGCTTGCGTATCGCATTCACTGACATTCCAATTCTGGTAGACTGCAACAGAAAAAAATATACACTACAAAAGGTGACATGAAGACAATTTAACAAGGAAACATAATACAAAGTTGTACTTTGACAATTTTTTAAAAGGTTTTTTTTTTTTTTGGTGGGGGGGAGGAGGAGAAGTTAAGAATATCAAGATGAAATGCTGCAAGCCTTTACAAGACTTATTTTAACATGGACATTTGAAAAATAACTACTACAGCATTACCATTTTTCTCCATCACAGAAGGTGGGGGGAAGAGGGAAGAGAGCAAGAGTGTTAAGGAGTCAATCAGAAGGTGTTTGCTTCCAAACCATTTCAAAAAGCTCTGCACAACTGCTTACCTAAATTAAGTACAACATTCAAAAACATCTAACAATGTGAAAAACACATATGTATTACTGTTACATAAAATTTTTATCAAAGGTTCTAGCCTCAAAACCTTATTTTTCTGTGAAGTAATGACTGTATTCATATTTTGGCATGATCAGAAGGTTGCCAACTGCTTCAGTGACTTCATACTCTTAGAATTCCCATTTAGTTGCTGTGGAAGATGATGTAATATCAGTTGGGAGCAACCATGTTTTAGGTTCCTACTAATTTTGGCAACACTGAGATTCTTTAAAATCTTAAGCACAAAGGGTTCTGCTTTTAGATAAAACTGTAACACTAGGCTACCTCTCTAAAGGCCAAGATAGCAACAGAATTGAAACCTTTGGCACTACTGCCACCTACAGAGTGAAAACCAGATTAATTTACAATTCACTCCTTTTAAGACTCAGAAGATGAGGACAGATTTAGCTCAACAGCAACAGAAGTTTCATTTTAGAAGACTTCTGACTAAAGTGTTAATCTAACAAGTAGAACATTTTCGCAATTTTAGTTTCACAAGACAAAAAAAATTCTCTAACACCACAAATAAGTATATTATCATTTCATATTTTGATTGATGACTAAATTCTTAATTGTTCTTAAGATGCTAGGTTTTGTTGCATTTACCATTTACAGGACTCACAAAATATAATTTATTCTACTTTTGAAGTGGTTCATCACAAATTTCCCTTCTCCTTTAAAGGAAAATTTAAATCTTTGTGGCTCACTAAAAATGGAAATGCTTTGTTCCTGTAAATTACTCCTTACAACCCACACAACACTTTTTGGGGCACCATGGATGTGCTAAATGACTGGAAATGTACTGAAATATTCAGTATCTATTTCAGCAAAAGAAACACGCCAAATAACTTCAGGTCTGAGCATCAGTTCTAAAGACATATTTTGGTTTAAAGAAAACAGATGGTTACTCACCTGTAACTAAAGTATTTCAAGAAGGACTCTGCTCACTCAGACTAACAGTACTGGCCAACTCTCTTGATATTTTTAACACATACTCTCAACATTATGTTCAGACAATAAATAATATGTGCTTGGAATGCCACAAGATACTCACCATACCTGAATGAGAAAAAGGTATCTACAGAAACCCAAGCCTCCATTGAAAAACTGGGCACAACCATGGCCTACGCTCATCAGCAAAAATAAAAGAGCAACTGACAGACTTACTTAGGTAAGTAAGACTCAAAACTAACTGAATAAATCAGTTTCTTCTTCTGAACACACATGAGAAACAGACTATGCTAACTGTCTAAACTACTAGCTTTCTTAAGGTAGTTAAAGCACTTGATCTGGCCTCACCTAAAGAGAGGGAAAGGAATGATCTACCAATTTGCCTGCAAAATGGCCCAGCTAATTGCAAAAGATCAGTGTTATATTCTCAAAATGACTGTGCTTTAATGACAAAATGTCAGTATTTGAAATTCCCTCAGACTTCCAGCCTACAGTTGTTCTTGTGAAAATCATTAAGAGGAAAACACCAGTTTCCATTTTAAGTGGCAAACATCAGTTTTTGCCTAGCCCAGTAACCTGTGGAACTGCTTTATCTTTGCCAGTTAAGTGCGCAGGTTTATGGAAACCTTCTTCACCATGTCCAAAATGCATTTTTAATGGATCATTCTTCCCAACTTCAAATTGTAGAGCATTTTTCATCTGCTTTCTGAGGATAAAGAAGCTCAGAGACAGCGCAAGACAGCTGTTTTCACCCCTGAGGCATTCAAGCTATAGGCCAAGCAGCCTTCACTTGGTATGAGCAACAGTTCACGTAAGTAACCTATGACTGAACCCAAAACAAAGCATATGGCAGCAGCTACTCTTCTCTAAACCACACCAAATGAGAAAATGTAAGGAAGGCAGTTAGGTAAGAAAAGCATCCACTGAAGCAAGCAGAGGTGTTACCAACTTTAAATTATAAGAGAATGAAGACAGAATTGGTGAACACCTGGACCAAAGCAGAGCCAAATCAACCCCTGTAGAATAACTACCTCTAGGTTACCAGATCTGCCCAGCTCACCAAGGAACTGGCAAAAAGCCATTAACAAGGATGTACAACACAGCCTAGCTCTGTATAAGTGTGCATAACTTCCAGTAAAGCCTGTTTGTTAAAATAAAGACCGTCCATCTCTCACTGTTTAGCTGCACACTACCCACAGTTAGCACCAGCGACACAATGCCTTTAATACTATGCTGCTGCTAAACAGATTTGCAATTCTGACTACTGGATAAATCACGTGTGAGGAAGGCCACTGGCTCCCTGACTAGCTGAGCAAGGATCAGCTTGCTTACATAAAACTCATTAGGTGTGACAGTCATATTACTGTCTGTAACCACTTCTGCTTTCTGTGATAAAAATCAGGCAAGAAACATGCAAGCCAAAAGCCAGACTACTGATGTGCACCTTCCTATTCCACACACCTGTAATTTTTTCAAAGGACCTCACCAGCTCAGACTGGAGCAAGTCATGTTATAGGAAAAATCATCACCTCTCTTATTGCACAGGAATAATTAAGCTACCCTATCAGCTAGGAGTGCTTTTCTCAATGTAGCCAGATTTCAAAAATGCTTAAAAATGGGAGTGGACATATGCTTTTCACTTGTCCTCTGTTTCATCAGTTGAAACACATCAATAGATATCTCAACCTACATAGAGGAAGTTAGTGCTCCCACTTTCTCCTGATCATCACCCTTCTTGACATTAGCACCCTAATGACCCACTACCAGAGCAATGCCTATGATTACTTTGCATTTCAACTGCTGCTCTGAGTCCTCCACGGCTTAAGCAAATTTGGGAGACTAATGTAGAAAGTTTACAGCAGACTTTATATATTTATAAAACTCTCAACAAAAATAATGTAAATTCGAGTCTAAACTTGTTGCTAAATGCAATCTTAGGCAACGGAACTGCTTTGAATACAGCAGTGGATACTTAATATTTAACTAAGCTACAGTCAATCTACTACCCAAGAGTACACCAGAACACTCAATCCCTTTAGACCTACTGTAACACAGAGAAATCTTCTTTACACTCAGATGGTGCCCACCCCAACACAGACCAAAATCAGTCTTTTACTGCAAATACTGTTTCACTATAAAAACAGGTATTCATCATATGGATGGGAATAAATAAGCTTCTTTCAAGTAGGATAGAAAGCTAGACAGAATTAATATGCAACCCTACATAAATTAAGTCAGGGTCATACAAGTGGCCCTAAAAGGCAGACAGTTGCGTTTGTACTTAATCTTACTAAGAGTCCTCCTCTGTTGATAACATTATTAATGTTTTCATTGCAACTGGAATAAGATTGTTATCTACTTGTACATTCTTCAGATCCTCACAGCTCAAGAGTAAAATTGTTTTGCTGTTCTGTGTAAAGCTTCTTCCAGTCTCATTCTTCACACTAAACAGAACATGTTTGCATAGCAGCATTTACAGAGAGATATTTTTCATTGCACAGGCAAAAAACATTATTGCACAAATACTTTGTATTAAGACCTGCACATGGAAACTCAAAAGAATCAGGTTAATAAAGGGGTTTTCTGGATTTTGTTGTTTTGTGTGGGGCTTGAGGAGGTTTTTTTGTGGGGTTTTGGTTTGGGTTTTCTTTCAGGAAGGAGGTTGAACATAGGGGACAAGGGTGCAGCATTATATAGTCATGATCATTCATGCATGAAGGTGACACTTTCAAATTCTTGATTTGTGTCACAAACAATATTACTAATAATGTACTAAGTACATTCTAAAAATATATAGGATATCCACATCAAAAATGACATTGCTACTGACACTTAAGATTTTAATTTTATAGCTAATTCTGTATCTGTGACCATTAACTGTCACTCAGAAAAAAGTTACTTTTCAGTCTCTTCCAATTTAAGTGGCTACTACAGCAAATCAGGTCTCACATTTACCTACGCCACTTGAAAATTTTCTCAAAGAGGAAATATCTAGTTACTTTGGAACAAAAGTTGTTCACGGATGAATTACATGACAAACTCTGAAACCTGAAGTGCAAATAAAGTTCACCGAGTTACTTTTTGGAAGATGCAAGCAAAATTAGAGAGAGTATGCATGCAAGTGAGAGAGACTGTACCACACCAACAGTCCTGGCCAGTGGAATAAAAAGGGAGGAAGAGGAGTAATATAATTACCTTAAGAAATCCACTACTCAAAATTACATGGAGGGGGGGAAGGAAATGGTCACATACAACTTGCCTGAAGGTACGAACTATGCTTCTCCTCACTTACAATCCAAAATCAGAATTGACTACATGAGAAGGTACCAGCTGTAACTGGGTGCATTCTCATTGAGAAGGAAGAAAACATCACATTTGTGTTAGCAAGAACCTAAGATTGTAAGTAAGGTAAGTTTATAGGCAGCTATTCCCCTTTGTCCATTACAAAATTCACTATTTTCAACTTAGAAAGATAAGCTTTAAGAGTTTGCTACTGGAAGAAAACACTTAAAATAAGTGCCCTAAATAAGGATGAAATAAGATTAGTTACCCTGTAACAACACTGATTCTTCTAAGGAGTTTCTACATAGGAACCTACTTTAATAGTGCAATCCTTTCCCAATTTTGCATCATTTTGAAATTAATATTTGCAACATCACAACAATAAGAAAATCATACCTGTAACAACTCAAGGGTCATGGGAATATTTTTAAGCTCCTTCAATAAATCAAGAGCTCCAGCCTGCAAAAAAAGAAAGAAAAAAAAAGTAGTTAGTAGCAATTGGGTACTTTAAATATAACATCAACAACATACTCTCATCTGCCTTCAAGGTCCCAGACTGGATTCAAATCATCAGTTCCCAACTTAACGACAGAACAACTCTAGGACAAGGAATGTTTTGCTTCACAAACTCTAAGCATTAGCAGGCCTTAACTCAGAAATCAAAGTATTCACTCAGACCACAGAAGTTTTATCCCATATAATCCAAATGCCAGTTGAAGCATTCTGTCAATTACTACTTCATCAACACACATCCTCAAGAAAACAGCCTCAAGGGTACTTCACTCAACAGAATCAGAAACAAGCCAAACAACAACAGTAATTTTCAGTTCAGAACAACTTCACCTGTTTTAGCACAATAACCTGGAGTTGAGAAGCTCTGCATAGTCTGTCAATAATGCAACACACATAACTATATATATATATAAAAAGCATATATAGCCAACAACCTTAACTGTATTTGCAGTGATGTGCTAACAAAAGTTTATTGGTTTAAAAACTGTGATCAGATTGAACTATTTTACTAGACATAGCTATAGTTTCCCTAATAGAAAAGACAACTTCATGAATGTGTCTACCAACAAATGCCCAAATAAAAAAAGCTGAGCAAGACTTGGTTCCAAGTCTTATTTTCAACTATTAAGTTTAAATATTAATTCAATTAAATACATAGATCAGGCTGCACAGATTAGTGCAGACAACACTCTTCAGCCTATACCAAACTAGAAGCCAGAGCCTACCCTAATGCACTATAACATCTGAGCTAATGCACCTGTTTTATTCAGCTGTCATGGGTTTTTCTTTTTTCCTTTTCCCCTGCTAAGACCATAAGGAAAGGTACAAACTAATACTGTGTAAGCGGCAACTTTCTAGATAGAGGAGTTAATTTCAGAGACTGTACTGTTAATAAACTCTCTATATATATGTAGCTACTGTAGCTAACAACTCATTCCTTGGCAATATTGACCTTACTTGAATTGTTCATAAATGTGAGCTCCATAATTTACTTTAACCTCTATATCCTTGATGATTTACCACCTCTATTTAAGCAAAGCTCTGCACCATCCAATTCCTACTGCGCACATGGGTTTGTCAGACTATAGCAACCTCCTAAAGGTTGAGATGATTTTGCTGTTACCCAAATGCATATGGTTCTGAACCTGTGGGCTGTGAACAGTGAGGAAGCAACCACCTTCACATACAAGAGGCCACTCTACACAGGCTAAGCCCATTACCTTCACACTTTTTTTTCTTTAATTCATAAGGTTCAGAAATAAGCCCCACAAAATTTCCACCTTTCAGGCCTTTGGAATTTGATTCCTTTATCTTTCCTTCTCTGTCAACTCATCCTATTTTGTCTACTCTAATATGCATTTTGTTTGCCTTTATTTTTAAATTCTTCCTAATGAACTTCTAATATGCCACCTGTTGCAAGGAAACTCTTGTAATCTCCTGCTGCATCTGCAGGTCTCACAATTGAACCACTAAATATAGCACATAAAATAACTACCAAGAGGCTGAGAAAGATGAAAGTGGAACTTCTGTGTGACACCCAAACAGGCACAGCTTTGGCCACTTCCAAATCTCTGCTCCAACCTGTTTTTTAAACAGAGCAGGCAGCAAAGAAGTGAAATGTTTGTTTTTCGAGGCTATGACCCACCATACACAAACTCAATTCACCTATAAAACTCAAGTTTTATTATTTTGCCATCATAGCAAAAAGTCGTATTAACTTCTATTCACAATATACAAATCTTCTCCAGTTTTAACCACAGAATTTTACCAGCAATGATGCAAGACTGGGAAATGTCATGCTGTTTTCAGGTGCTAAATTGAGTTCACATACTAAACCATTTATTTCTCTAAACAGCCATAAGCATGTTTTTTTCTGTGCAAACACATATCCAAGTAAAGAAAGTTAACTATCTCCACTGCTACAATACAAAAAATTTTCTTTGCGGAAACAAAACGAATGACAAAAGTCAATGTGCCATTTTCAAAATTACAATCCCATAACACCTCCAAACCAATTAACAAACTGTACACAGTATGTGATTTCAAATAAACAGATTATTGTAGTCTGCAGTTTCAGCATAACAGTGCCACTGTAATGCAAAGTACCACTCGCTTCACCTCAGTCTATTCAATCTAGTCAAAAGTTCTTCGCCTCTACAATCCCTTTCCAATTGTACATTTCAAAACAACTTTATTATTCCCAGCCTAAACACTTTCCAAAACTAGTAACTTGATATATAGGTTAACAAACCATGCAACAAGTAAGAACAACCCCATGTACTCGCTACACAGATGTTACCTGTATATCATGCCGTTTTCTGTACCAAATTACCAAAATTTCTGATGCATTAATGCTTCCTAAACCTTCATTCTTCTCTAATCAATTATATTCAGTGTACCAAGAAGTAGATTATTTAAATTTAAATTGAGTTTGAACTCACAGCAACTAAACAGTTTTTCATAACCACTCTTCCTAACAAAGTCAAATGCCCTCTTTTCCTCAAAAACAGAGTGGAAGTTTCACAGTAAAACTTGTAATTCCTATTTTTGTAAGATAAGGACTTCTCTGTTTAAAAAAAAACCAACAATTACAAACGCTATTTTAAATCTTCTTTTAAAGGTACAGCTATAATTTTATAGAAAATGAAAGGCAATGACCCATTCCACTAGGCTTGCTGGCTTCCAGTTTACCTTGTTACTTGAATTCAGCTTAATACACATTTAGTAGACTACTCTCAGCTTCTCTCAGTTGATCAGATCATAACACCAGAATGACAATCTATATTCTTATTTTAAAGCTATGTTTCAGGCGACAGAAAATGGAGTATGTTTCTGAAAACAGCAGTGCTAACTACTTAAGGGAACAAGTGCTTAATAACATGGTGCTTTACATTTTCTTCTATAAATTTACTCAACTGTTCCTGATTTTTTAAATCCATGAGTGCAACCTTACTTTTCACGCCTATTCATTACAGGAGCTTATGAAAGAAAAGTGTATTTACATACAACAAAAGCTATAAGGAAGGCACCAAATGTATTGTAATCCAATCAATTATTCCAAAGGAGGAATAGTATCTATTTCAAACATGAAAACAGTATTTGAAGTAACAGCAGAAATAGATATCTCACAGTATATTAAATACAGCACTGCTTTATTAGTTGTCCTTCAGTTCTTTTGTTTTGCATATATGACTCCACTAAAATAGTTATGAAATCTGCACAGCTACAATTAAATCCTTAGTCAAGGTAAATCACCAAGACTCTGACTCAGGAAGGGTGTCTGCACAGCCTGTCTTTTCAACTCCTCAAAAGAAGTGTGAAACAGCACCTCGCCACAAGCCACAGAGTCACCTTTTATATGAGAGATGAAGCATCTCTTGTCATCTGAGTCTTGAGAACTTCAGAGTGAAAAGGTATCAAAGCTTTTTTCTTTTTTATCTATGGATTTCATCAAGTCATTCTCATTCAAAGACATACACCAAACACCTGTTCTTGTTGAGTCAAAATGGAGAAATGAATACAAGAGGTTTTCAGGAACATCCTTATCCAGCAGGTACTTACGTAAGAATGCATTTCTCAATTCAGCTTCATCTTTCAGAGACAATGATGTACTTCTTCAGAGAAGTAATCTTAATTTTGCTGAAGTTAGCATTTTAACTGCAGGGTAGGATTAAACAGGAAATCACGTTGTACAATTAAAGAAGAAATACCTTATAAATGACAAAAGCTAGTAAGAAAACGAGAGACATCTCCTGGATTAAATAGCGATGCACTTCCTATCCTAAAACTACACACATGCGCTTGGGATAAACCGCCAGATCTCCACTATCGGCCACAGAGGCAGCTCATGCCCTCAGCCTGAGAAGGTTTTTGAGACAGCATCAAACTAACAACAGAGCCTCTTGTGTGCTGTAATGTGCTGGAACAAATGAGCTGTGCTCCAACGAAGTACAAAAGCATGACTGCTGCTGCCTGCGCTCTCGTTCCTGGGACAGGGGTGAGGATGAAGACGCAGCCGCCAGCTGCAGCCTGGCCCAGCCCTGCACGCTGCCCTCGGCCACATCAGGCCCACACTGACCCCAGCAAAGACACCGCCGCGCTGATCCCGAGCGCTGAGAAAGTTAATGGAGTTACACATGCCAGAGCGTGTATACGTGTCCCCAGCTGCTGCTAGGAATTGCACCCAAATTCTTAAGCCTCCCAGATCACAGAGAAATATACTGTGGTCACTGGGAACATCTCTGGCATCGCCGCAGCACTGTTCCCCAGCACCCACAGTCATACCTGGGAGCTGCCAGGTATTTTCCTTCTACTGTCAGAAGTCTTCCAAATAAAACTTCAGTGACTGCACTTTATCATTCTCATTATCATGATATTTAAACGTTTCACACCCATTACATTTTTACCCTTTCAATGCTTTGTAAGGGCACTGCTTCAATGTTAGAGTTACGAAAGCGAGACAGTGAAATTTTTTTGTGCCGAAAGGCATGAGGAATTAAAATAAAAAGAAAAAATAAGGGCACAAAAAGGAAAATTATAAACTAATATATGTTGGTTGTAAAAAATTCTTTCCGCTAGACAAGGCTCCTGTCTCCACACTGTGTTATTAGAGGGTTCAAATGTATCTGAGCCAAACCTTACAATATTATGGCTTGATCAAGGATTTTAAAACACAATAAAGCACAGCCAGTGTTTACTTGCAATTAATTTGTTTGGATTCCAAACAAAACAAACTTCCCTGGTTTAATGCAATCAGCATTTCTATAAATACACAAGTGTTATTAAAAAATGGTATTTATAACTTCCATTATCTTAAACAGCAAAACCAGACTGCCATAAACTGAAATTCCACACTGCTCGGTTCTGAACTAAGATTAAGCATTTAGTGTACTATCATCACATATGGAAAAAACCTTAACTTTATGTATTAAAATAGCAGCTTCTGGGAAGAGCAGGAGATGCAAATACACAAATTACAAGAGAATAACCATGTGCCCACCTGCTAAAGAAGCAGTGAACACCATTTACAATTTGCTTGTATGCTATTTTATGTGTAACCATAGCCAGGTACTCAGCTGTTGCTGCACTCCGATTTTACTTATTTTGATGCTTTTGTAGGGATAGTATAGGCGTGATATGTTACCTTAGTAAATTCTATGTCAAGAGCATACACGAGACTAACACTTGAGCTAAGCTAACTGATTTCTGCCTAACAATGTTCTACCTTCATTCTGAAGCAGAAGCTATCAGGTTTGGAAAAAATAAATAAATAAATAAATAAATAAATAGATAAATAAATAAAAATACCGGCTCACACCCCCCCGCCTGCTTCTGAAGTGTGCCCACACGACCCCGGCCACCCTACCAGAGGAATACGAGGGCTCTCCATTAATCTCTTAACTCGCCCATCCCACGGAAAACTCCACCTTCCGCGCCTGGAAGGGAAAACAGCCCGCCTGAAGGGGACAGCCCCCGCTGGCGTTCCCCTCCAACCGCCTGGGCCTCCCGCGGCGCCTCATCTCCCGCTCCCGAGCGCGGCCAACGTCGCGGTTTTAATAAACGCGGAGGAGAGGGAAGCGCCGTTCGGGAGCCTCCCCGCGGCCCAGGGGCGGGGAGCGGGGCCGCCTGACGGGGCGAGCGAGCGCCGGAGACCCCGCACCTTCCCGCGGCGGGCCGGGCAGGGGCCAGGCAGCTGCGGTGCTCGGGGGACAAGGGCCCTCGGCAAAGCCGCGACTCCCGGCGTCGAGGCCCGCGGGGGCTCCGCGCCACCCTGCCGAGCCGCCTCCCGTCCCGCCCCCACTCACCGCGTTCTTCTTCTGCACCATCTTGTCCATCTTCTTGGCGATGCGGATGATCTCGTCCTCCGTGGTCATGGCTGCGGCAGTGCGTGAGAGCCGAAGGCAGCGGAGCAGAGAGCCGCCCCCCCCCCACCCCTCCTTCCTTCCTCCACGGGCGCGGGAATCGGCCGGGGTCGGTCACCGGGACGGGGGCCGCCGCCTTGCTCAGCGGAGCAGGAGCGGAGGCAGGCCGCGGCGCAGCGGCCCGCCCCAACAGCCACAGCGGCGGCGCCAGGCAGCGCGCATCGATCACCGGCGGCAGGAGCTAGGCAGCGCTGCAGCAGGCCGAGGTGGGGGGGGGGGGGATGGTGCGGGCGGGAAGGCTGCGGGCGGCAGTCGCGCACCTCCCACCTCTCCCCCCAAGAAAAGCCCGTCACTCGCTTCCGAGGTTCAGGCTTTTCTTCAGCTGTCGGAAGGCTCAGAGTCACAGCAGACGCGTTATTTTGTTAGCTTCAAACGGGTGGAAAATCCTCTCTTCCCAGTAACGGTAGAGGTTCTTCTTAAAGTACATCCCTAAAGAATTACTTTGTATAAAATGGGGTGACGATTTCAAATTGCGGTTTTAGAGTAAATTCGCGATTTACCAGTTCGGTACAACGGGGTTGGAGATAAACTTTTGCTTTGGCCAAGTATCACGTTGTAACGTGCCACAGTACTTCTAAGTCTTAAACCTAATCTGAATCTTGTGCACATTCCAGTGGGACATGACACATTTATAAAGCCTGACAAATTTGGATTATGTACCATCTATAAAATTTTGTTCATTACTTGAGTTATATGCCTTGCTACTGTGATTCGTTGTTGAAAAGAGCAGCATCATTAAACCATTTTCACTGTAGAATGGAAGTGTTTACTTCAAGAAAATGGTGAGCAAATCTGAAGGTCACAGAAAGATTATCCCCTTCTAAGATCCAGGAGGGTGCTTATACGTGCTGCTCAAACCTATTATTAGTAAGCAGTTGAATGATGTGAATGCCCAAGTTGTAAACTGAGGACTGTAAAATAGTTACATTCTGGAGGAGAAGTGAAACAGACCTTGGAATGACACTCGGGGAAGCGCTGACAGCAAGAACTGCTGCTGCACTGGTGTGTCGCATACTTCGCAGCAAGTCTGCGCGGTGTTTTGAAGCCGCCCAGAGACAGGTGGTTTTCAGGCACTTCTACATCATGCTCAAGGCACACAATGGTCACAGCACCTGCCAGTTGAAAGGCCTGCACATACAGAGATGTATTAGATGGAATTAAAATTATTTGGGACCTAGAGAGGATCTTCCCACAGGTTAGATCTAGGCCATGAACTGGACAAGCATAACAGAAACTTTGCAGCTTTTTTGTTTGTTCTGCCCAAGGAGCAGTGGGAAGCAACACAAAAAACAAACAGCAAAGGAATGATTCCTTAAGGAAAGTAATACCTATTCTTTCAGGAACAGATTTTGGGGAGAAAAAAAATAAAATAGCAGTACTCACCACAACAGTTAAGGGATCATGCCAATTCAGGTTTAATTCCATTTTGTCTAGATGAAGTAACCTGGTATCTGTAATAATCAACTCAGGTTAAATAGGATGCTAACCTCAAATGAAGTTTATTGTTATTTTTCCCACAACCACAACAATGATAAAAGCAGTACGTGGTGTGTTAGCAGCTGAGAGCTATTGCTACACTATGTGGTAAACAAACTTCTATGTGTTCTACAGTAGGTGCAAGTCAGATCAGGGATAACGCTATCAGAAACCTAGAAATCTCAAATCAGTCAGCATGGTTAGTTTGAACACATTTAAGTTCTGGAATTAAGTCTTACAGTATTAATTTCTTTTAAAAATACAATTCAACAACTTTTTCGTTGGAGATGCATGGAAAGAGTTAAAAAACGCAGATGAAATCTATTAACATCCAAAATGTATCAGGTAAGGAAATTATAATTGTAAATTAAATGCTACATAGAATTTATAAAAGGCCTGCTGCAGGACTGTGAGGGGAAAGCACGTCACACTTGTTTAACAGCTAAACTAATAAAAGTAGCATCAGAGAAATATTTCAGTAGGGAAATCAAAGACTAACTGGATGGTAATGCAGATCCTTTTTTGCAAATGGATGCATTAAAAGAAAACAAAATACAGCTCATATTATTTGTAATGTTTACTACAGTACCAGAATGATACTCAATTAACTGAACCAGTACTAACCTGATTCTTTATATTAGCTGTTCTATCATCCTCAGGACAGCAATTCTTTACTGCAAAGAAATAACACGGCACGCTCCATGGTTGTTCTTTTTTACCTGGTCCTAACCCAAGCAGCTTTGTACAGCATCAATCTCTTCTATACCATGCCACTGTAAGTCCCAAGAACAGTAGGAGAGGGAAAAGAGACCAAACAAAAGCTAAACCTTGCAATTTTTTCCTTTCTGTTTAGCTTCTTTCTCCTAAATAAACCCATTACAAAGAAGAAATAACACACTATTTGTTGCACTGCATTTACCTGTTACATTATATTCTCACCGTTCTTTTGCAACATCTTCTAAAAGGTACTGTACACCTGCTGCTGCAAAGAGCATGCGTCTAACTCACTAGACCCTGTCATTTGCTGGACCATAGGACCTTCTGCAATACTAAGGGTTAATAGGCAGAGACATCTCTCCTAAGAGGGTGCACATACAATATGTTGTTGACTTTTACTAACTAGTCTCATGTGATATGAGACAGCACCTTGAGAAATTCGGGGGGAGGGGCCAAACACTAGCACCCACAAAATTTGTACTGAAGGATTTCTGAACTCCTACCATGGCACTTAAAATCCTCCATTTTCAGGACTAACATTCTGTATGGAAAAAGCTCCTCTAATCAAGTGTTAACACAACTATGCAAAATATAACATTCACAGCATTCCAAAAGGGTTTATGTAACCATGTGTTATAGCCATTATGCCCCTCCTTTTTATTTGAGCCATGTAACAATGGCTTAGGTCTACCAAAACAGAATTTCAATTGGTCTGAATCAGCCAACTGATCCCCAGCCTTCACAGGGTAAGAAGAGATGAGTCCAACCACAGATACATGAGGGCAACTGTAGCAAATGGGTTTTGATTCCTCATAACAGAAAGATTTTCCTCAAAAATTTCTGAAATAGTAACACGCATCTTGATTAGCAGTCTCTATTGTTATTCAGCAGATGGATTGGGTGGATTTTCTTTATTTCCTCACACTAGCTCTAGATTATAATGGTAAGGCCTAAAGTTAGATCAAGTATAATTTTCAAATTCTGGTTTTTACTATATGCTATTAAGTTCATTTTTCAAGATGTCTTCACCTTTTTCAACTTAGAAGCAGTCACTGGAGGCATTTAAATATAAAAAATATTTAAGAAAATGTTTTGGGTGTTTGTTTTGGTTTTTGGGTTTTGGGTTTTGTTTTGTTTTTTTGTTTGTTTGTTTGTTTTTTTTAAGGTCACATTACTAGATGTTTCTATTCTGGGGAAACCTCTAATTATATTTTGTACATAGACTGAAAATGCTGAAGCCTCTTAAAGATCTCCCCAAATAATTTTAAATACTACACAGCTACCAAATTATTTCAAGCAAAAGCCGCTTGAAGAGTTTGCTCATATTTACAACAGGAACATTCAGACTCCAACTTTTAGACTACATCTGCTCCATCCATTAATGCAGACAAGTATCATTTTAAAAAAAGAACTTTGAATGATCCCTGAGGAAAGCCTATCTTCTCCACACGGAGAAGCTAAACCTCCCACTTCGATGCCTGAAGCAAGGTTTACTACACCTTGGCAAACTGGCTAGAAGTTTAAAGTTTTACAAGTTTTGCAGAGAGAAAGGAGGCAATGGGTTGGTTTTTTTCAGTAATTAGAATTAAGACAAAACCATTATATACTGATTCACTTTGTAGATGCCCATTAAATTACACGAGTACTTCATTTAAATCAGCTTTAATCAGGTATATCAAAGGCACTTGTTTTACTCAAAGAGAATTAATAAAACCTGTTATCCCAAAGGCAAAGGGTGGTAATAGGAGAGTGACAAGCAATGAAAAGAAAAAAAAAAATAAGGAAAAAAATAGTATGTTCTACAGCTATTATTCTTCAAAGAATCCCATTTTCAAGTTAACCAGCAGACACTCTGAAAACTTCTTGAGAGTCACCTTCTTCACTTACACCAGCAGTCTCATACTATGTTTGACAAAGTTTAATATGATAGTATATTGTCATTTTTTTACTATGCTACTTCTAGGAAATGTTTCTTCTCACAATTATCCCTTCAGGGATGTCAGGTATGTTGGGTCTGTGTGTGTGGCAGGGTTTTGGTAGCAGGGGAGGGGGCTACAGCAGTGGGCCCTGTGAGAAGCTTCTCGAAGCTCCCCTGGCTCCAAGTCAGCCTCAGCTCTAGCCAGGGCTGAGCCCATCATCAACGGTGGCCGTGCCTCTGCAATACTGTATTTAAGAAGGGGAACCAGAGAGGAGTGAGAGTTGTGAGGGAGATACCTGTGGAAACACTGTAGTCAGTGGAAGAAAGGAGAAGGAAGAGGAGGTTTGCTGGAGCAGAGACTCCCCTGCAGTCCATGGTGGAGCAGATGCCCACCCACAGCCCATGCAGGACCCCAAACTGGAGCAGGTGGCTGTGCCTGAAGAAGGCTGGGACTCTGTGGGAAGCCCATGCTGTAGCAATTAATTGCTGGGGGAGTGGCAACCCATGGGAGGGACCCACACTGGAGCAGACCAGGAAGAGCGGCAGCCCATGAGAAGGACTCATGTCAGAGAAAGTTCGTGGCGGACTGTCTCCCATGAGAAGGACCCCACACTGGAGCAGGGAAAGAGCATGAGGAATCCTTGCCCTGAGGAGGAAGGAGCAGCAGAGACAACAGGTGATGAACTGACTGCAACCCCCATTCCTGTCCCCCTGTGCTGCTGGTGGGGAGGAGGTAGAGAAATCAGGAGCAAAGCTGAGCCTGGGAAAAAGGGAGGGGTGGGCAGAGGTGTTTTTAAGATGTGATAATGTTTCTCACTGTCCTACTCTTTTTGAGTGTGTTTGAATTAAACGAATGTTCTTTTTCTTCTCATAAGGAATCTGTCTTTTTCCTGTGATCAGAATGGATGAGTCACCCCTCCCTGTCCTTATCTCCATTCCCAAGTCTTTTGTTTAATTTTCTCTTTCCCAGCACTGGGGGGCAAGGAGTGAGTGAGTGGCTGTGTGGTGCTCAGTTGTCCACTGGACTCAAACTACAAAACCAGGGCAGAAAGTAAATAGAAACTAAACATTACTCAAAACATTTTTCAAATATATAAACTGACAAATTACTCTGTATAGTATTGCATCTTTATTGTTACTAGCTATTCTTATACCCTTAAGTTGTCACAATATATTCACATACAGCACTGCATCTGATGTGCATTTCCACACATTCATGAACTTCATGAACTGTACTCCACACTGACTTCTAGACATCAGTCTATGGAGAGAAGCAGCCTTTTAGTTGCTTTAAACTGCTTGAGAGGGGAAGTCTCCCTTTACTACATGTACACCCCGTTCCCTTTCAAGTTGCTTCAGCATCTCTTCACAGACAATCTGAAATTTACTCGAGTGATCCACACTATGTATACCACTGATCATCCTCAAATGTTACACTTATCCTAAAGAGCACGTGCGACTCCTGATGTGAACACTGCTTCTGTAGCAACTATGTTATGTGGTATGTATGCCAAACCTAATATAACTTCAAAGGCTCCCCAGCACCACAGAACACCCAGAGAAAGGTATAGCAACACACAATGAGAAGACTTTGGTTCTTTAGTGTCCTAGAATAAGGCTACTAGAAAATACTTTAATTTCTTCTACCTTTCAAAATTACTGTAAATTCCAAGAACACAAGTTAAAATAAAATTAACCCAGAATATGAAAAAAAAAAAAAAAAAAAAAAAAAAAAAAACAAACCACCCAAATCACACTTAGCACAGCCAAGTGCAAGATCCAAGTGCAAAATATTACAGAGAAACTGTTCAGGTAGACAGAGATCAGGCCAGGAAGGCCAAAGCCCAGATAGAATTAAATCTGGCCAGGGATGTCGAGGGCAATAAGGAAAACTTCTATAGGTACGTTGGTGAAAAAAGGAAGACTGGGGAAAATGTGGGCTCTCTCCAGAAGGAAAAGAGAGACTTGGTCACCTGGAATATGGAGAAGGCTGAGGTACTCCACAACTTCTTTGCCCCACTCTTCACCGGCAAGGGTTCCATCTACACCATCCAAGACACAGAAGGTAAAGATGGGGACTGGGAGAATGAAGAACTGCCCACTATAGGAGAAGATCAGGTCTGAGACCATCTAAGGAACCTGAAGGTACACAAACACATGGGACCTGATGAGATGTATCTGCGGGTCCTGAGGGAAATGGCGGATGAAGTGGCTCCATCATATTTGAGAAGTCATAAGTGGTCCAGTAAAGTTCCCACTGACTGGAAAAGGGGAAACATAACCCCCATTTATAAAAAGGGGAAAAAGGAAGACCCAGGGAACTACAGGCAGGTCAGTCTCACCTCTGTGCCCAGCAAGATGATGGAACAGATCCTCTTGGGAACTATGCTAGGGCACATGGAAACTAAGGAGGTGATTGGTGACAACCAACATGGCTTCACTAAGGGCAAATCATGCCTGACAGATCTGGTGGCCTTCTATGATGGAGTTACACCGCTGCTCAATAAAGGAAGAGCAACTGACATTATCTACCTGGACTTGTGCAATGCTTTTGACACTGTTCCATATGACACCCTTGTCTCTAAATTGGAGAGACATGGATTTGATGGATGGACCACTCAGTGGATAAGGAATTCGCTGGATGGTTGCATTCAAATAGTTGCCGTTGATGGCTTGACTTCAAAGAGGAGACCACTGACGAGTGGCGTTCCTCAGGGGTTGATATTGGGGCCAGCACTGTTTAACATCTTTGTTGGCAATGCGGACAGTGGGGTTGAGTGCATCCTCAGTAAATTTGCCAACACCACCAAGCTGTGTGGTGTGGTCAATACACTGGAGGGCAGGGATGGCATCCAGAGGGACCCTGACAGGCTTGAGAGGTGGGCCCGTGCAAACCTCATGAAGTTCAACAAGGCCAAGCACAGGGTCCTGCACATGGGTCGGGGCAATCCCAAGCACAAATCCGGGCTGGGCAATGAGTGGATTGAGAGCAGCCCTGCAGAGAAGGACTTGGGGGTAGTCGCGGATGGAAAACTGACTGTGAGACGTCCATGTGATCTGGCAGCCCAGAAAGCCAACAGTATCCTGGGCTGCATCAAGAGAAGTGTGGTCAGCAGGTCAAAGGAGGTGATTCTCCCCCTCCACTCTGGTGAGATCCCACCTGCAATACTGTGTTCAGCTCTGGGGCCCCCAACATAAGGCTATGGACCTGCTCAAGTGGGTCTAGAGGAGGCCACGAAGATGATCGGGGGCTGGAACACCTCCCTTATGAGGCCAGGCTGAGAGAGTTGGGGTTGTTCAGCCTGCAGAAGAGAAGGCTCTGAGGAGACCTTATAGTGGCCTTCTACTACTTAAAGGGGGGTACAGGAAAGATAGGGAGGGTCTCTGCATGAGGGAGTGTAGTGATAGGACAAGGGGTAACAGTTTTAAGCTGAAAGAGGGTAGATTCAGATTAGATGTAAGGAGGAAGCTCTTCCCTGTTTGGGGGGTGAGGCGCTGGCCCAGGGTGCCCAGAGCAGCTGTGGCTGCCCCCTCCCTGGAAGGGTTCAAGGCCAGGTTGGACGGGGCTGGGAGCCCCCTGGGCTGGGGGAAGGGGGCCCTGCCCGGGGCAGAGGGGTGGGACTAAATCATCTTTAAGGTCCCTTCCAACCCCAAACCAGTCTATGATTCTCTCAGTAAGGTAGCAAAACAACTTCACAAGTGTTTTGGTTTTTTTCTTTTCAGTAACTACAAATAGTTGTTCTTTTGTATCGTAGCATCATGCATACGCTACCGTGCAATATATTTGCAAGAAGCCTCTAAAGCGCCTGTTTCACAGCATGTGAAAGCTCAACTTCTTTCAGATAAGTAGAAAAAGTCTTTAGTGCTTGCCCAAATACTGATTGAAATTTATTTGACAGTGATAAAAATGGAAAGATTTTACATTTTCCCTACTATGGAAATCATTTCCAAAGTTAAGATTTCTTATCATAAATAAAATGAGTAAACTAAGTAAATTACATCTTAGATGTTTATATTAAATATAAATGGCTTATACTTCATAACAGAGTAAGCGTTCAGTATTTCTTTATAAAATAGAAGATAGACAGGCCTTGTACATATGGCTTCATTAATAGTTTATAAAGTTTGTTCTTAGTCATATCAATCGACACAAAATAGCACCTCTACAGAGAAGATGTATCCTGATGATTTCAATGAATTGCAGTATACTCTATATTAGAGAGAACATGTTTTAATTAAAAATTCTAATACCAGTTACAGTGTACAGTACTTTTACCAGTCTACTGTGTTGTAATTATACAAGACAGGAGGAAGAGACCAAATCATACAGCCCTTACCACCGTACAGACACTAGTACAGTTTACCTCAGAAATGGCTGGAATATTTGGATTGTGATTCATAATTCAACGTGTTTATTAAAAAGTGGGCAACGTATTCCAACAAGAAGTCAGACTTCTGACTGCACAAAACTGCAGTCAAATTTAAGTGCCATTATGAAATTAAAAACACATTAGGGAGGTAGATACTCCTTGAAACAAACAGATCTGCAAGCAAGGTATTTTCATAGCAATGCTTTCACAGGTTTGACAGACATCATCCCCTTTTGGGGAAAGTCTAACATGACGAAAGATAAACTTCATTATTGGACAGTTTCAAATTGCAGCTTATGAGGATAGGACATTCACATTTAGAACACTGACAGTCCAACCTCTCCGTTATAGTAGAATATTATGAAAATCCCCACACCAGACTGAGCTGTCATTCAGCCTAAAAATACATGCAATTATGACAACAATCCCAGCATCATATCACTTTAGATAGTGAGGAAGTTCAGCTACAAGATGATACACACAGCTATCCAACCAGTTGGGAAGTTACAAAAGACAGGAGCTCAAGGTACATACTGTAATATGGGAGGAGACAGGGTACATCCTTGAAGTTTCCTCTAGCTTCTGGGCTCTTTAACAACCCTGACCTACAACATACATGTACACTCCTGCAAAAAAAATACTTGAGGGGTATTATTCCTAGAATACAGAAATTCAGAGGGAGTCACAACATTTTACACAGCTCTTTGTAGATAAAGCAAGCAGCAAAACACCGGCATGAAAAAAATCTTGTTATGATAGCTGAATACTGAAACAAAGTTAGCACATAAAGAGTTTCTAGAAAAACATCTGAGAGCATCATTGAGACAACAGTTGAAGCTGACTTGTATTAAAAAGTGTAAGTACTAGAAACTGACCACGAGCTGTTAGCACAGTTCACCAAGCTGAATAAAGTGTTATGAAGCTATCAGAATAACGCTAGGACTGATGTCATTTTAACATCTTAAAAATACTTTTTTAGACTCATTCTAACAGAAGAAAGAAAATGCAAAATGAGCACACAGTCAATTAGAAATTGAACAAGACAGCTGAAAAGCATTCTCAAACAATGTACAAACAGAACAAAATAATAAAGGAAGAATTACAAGCTTGTGCAAGAACTTTGGAAACATTACAATATTCAGGGAATTATTTAGACAATGGGGGAATGAGGATAAATCTAAAAACTAGGAGAAATAACCTATAGTTTCCTTACCAAGTTTGAAATTCAGCAGGAATGCAAAATTAGCTAATGTAATTTGTGAACGACTCCGAGCTAGGACACACTGTTTTCTCAGTAGAACTTTGGCACAACTACAGTAAGAATATTATGGTTTCTTCTGTGAACTAAATTAACTGAAAGACAAACTGGCAGATCTATAGAACAGAGTGACTGAGGGAAAAGACTAATTAAACTTCAAACTTAATAGACGTACCCTCTCAACCATACAGATGGAATATCTAAAAGTGTTTCAATACCATTTAGGAAAAAATTCCCTTTTCGATTTTACATATTAAGAAATGTTTAATAATCCTGAGGAACTGGATTAGAAAAGAAAAACACTTTCCTAAAAGTAAAACTCACACTATGTTAACAAGTCAGATTTCTGGCAGCAGCTGTGTTAAAGAAGGGATATAAAGGTGTAATCCCCCATTTATGCATTTGTACTGGCAGATGTCTCAGACATAAATCCATACACACTGTAAGAGAAACACTTGATCAAGCTGGGAGAGGAGAAAGTACCTTAAATGAATGTATGAAGCACAGTACTGACATGACAGATGCATCCAAAATAGGAATATTAATTGCTTGCAAACATATTACAGTATAGAACAATGCTATACAGCACATTACATAATAAAAACTGTAGTGTGTTTTTTAAAGTATTCCTAGTGTGGTGACAGCCTCTGAACTCCACAGAACAGCTGTTTCCAGAAGTAAATTATGGCTCTTAACTGCAAAAAGCTCTTGAATGTGCATCAATTTCTGTAACCCAGTGCATTCTATAATTATAAGCTTCTGAAAGAGGAGACATTCTGTATCTTGTAGATTTGTTTTTTTCCCATAGTAGGTCTTCATATTCCTAGGCTATACTGATCTAGGGAAATGTAGAATGATACATTTGAAAATTAGATCCTTTGTTCTTTCCAGAAAAAACTCAAGTCTCAACATGCAATAAAATAAAGTATTAGATGGTATCAATTTAAGTTTCAGTTAGATTCCAATTGTACTTATATTGCTCTTAAAAAAGAATTCAAATTAGTGAATGTCTGTGTTACAGATAAGACATCAACAATACACAGAACTACACAGTTGCCCTGTTTTCGGTTAGCTACTCCAAAGCAGACAGAAAAATCAAAACTATATGCTGGAATTGCTCATGTGAAATTTATCAACATTGCTACACAATTGAAAGCTACAAAGACTAAAGCACAAGGTGGACATTCAGTACAAAAGCAGGAATTTTTAAATGAAGCTCAAATTAATCCTATGCACCTCTTCAGAATTCTGTTCCAAGTCAGCATTTGATGTGAGTTTTTAGTAATTAGGAAAAAAAAAAAAAAAAAAAAAAGATAATAAGCAACAAATGACTGTTTAACGGGAAGCGTGTCCCTTTATAATTTTCACAATATCTACACATATGAGAAGATTAAAAACTGAGGTGGTTTAAATATGAGAAATACCTTTGCTGACTTCTAGCCATTATAGGAGAACAACGCTCCTCATTTGGAGTAACAATTAACATTTAATATTTAAAGCTTTGTCCTTAGTAGCATTTATTCTATCGTCATATGCCTACTATGTTATATGTTGTGTACTTTACGTATCCATTACATAAAAATGTTTTAATATCTTTTCAATGAGTATTAAGAACAAATCATGTCTTAACTAAACTAGTCACATTTATGTTGCTCACCTAAATTTATTTTTAATTACTTGTACAAATAGTTTGAAATTCTGTAATCAAAAAAAAAAAAAAAATCAGATGTCTTAAAACAGTGTGCTTAGGTTACAGTCTGTCATTGTTACCTAGCTTGTCTCATTCACATATTCCCACCACTAGATGATTAACACTAAAAAGATTACCATTTCTTATGCATGTGTATTATTTAATCCTCATCCTAAGTATAAATTTGCAACACAGTAGTAACACTGCAGGTATAGAAGTAATGCTTCCTATCAGGCATATGAAAAGATTAACACTCTACCACAGTTGATGCTGGTGTATTTATATAGAAGGCTTCTCACATATCATTTCAGTCTACGGGAGGTAGATGCTTGTCTATGAACTGTTTTACATCCATCATCTCCTGTTTAAAGATAAAAGCATGTATTAGCTGAAGTTCTCTACTAATATATATTCAGCTACAGTAAATCATGTTTCAACATTGCACATAATGAGTAGCTGGGCTGCAAATATTGAATAATTAGTTACTTGATAAATTCATACCACTTTGCACACAACAAATCAAGGCTTATAGCTCAAGGCACTATGCACTCAAAAGAAGCTAAAATACAAGAAAAAGAGCAAAGACTAGTTTTTTTCCTCTCTCTCTCTCTCTCTCTCTGAAGATGAGCAGGCAAGCTACAAACTAATTAATCATCAAGAGATCTGAATCAGATTCAGAATATCCAGGCTGACCGTGGACAGGATTTGAATGTAGCTGAGGCCATAGCTTCGTGTATACTTTAAAATTCTGCAAGTTAGCAGCAGTGTGTAAAGTCAGCAGCTCCTTCTCCTTAACTATTCTGTTTGATTTTCATGATGCTTCCTTCCTCGAGGAAAAGTGATACAGCAAACTAGACTGGGAAACCACTCCTTGTTAAAAATAATTTAATTTTTTTAATTAAGTCAATATTCTAAGAAACTGCACATTATTAATCTATATTTTTTTAATTAAATCAATGTTCTAAGAAACTGCACATTATTAATCTATTTGTGTGACAACTCGATGCTATTACTGCCTAAACGCAATACAACTGTGTAAATGTCCCAAAGAGGTTGTCCAAAGGTACAGTTCCCACAAGAGGCAGCAGTGCAAATTAACAGTTACTGCTGCTGACAAGTGACAGATCTGTTCCTTGCCTCCTCTTCTGTTTCTTGCTCCTATCACTTACTTTGTGTGAGTTCTGATGCTTCAACTCACTACAGCTGCAAAAACTGCAGCTAGAAGCTTTTGCCATTTTAGCAAGTTCAAAGGGTTCCAAGAAGTTTCTGATCAGCTCCAGAGCTGGTGCAAGAAGGAAAAGAGGGCCACAAGGTCAGGAGCAGAGGGAACTACTCCACCACTTTCTGGCAGAAGCAAGCCACTACATCAGCTCAGCTGCCTGCCATCGTAAATACAGGTTCTGAGGCTGCCTCTTCCATAGCATCAATCCTCCCTCCCTATTCCTTTGATGTCTACATCCATAGAACTAACAGGATCCTTCTCTCCAAAATACCAAGTTGGATTTGTGCTCTGAGAATCTGCACTGTGAAAATTCAGTGATTTTTTTTTTTTTCACTAAGCAAATAATAAAAATTAGGGAAAAAGAGTATTTTCTAGACCAACTAGCCTAGTCCCAAAAATTCAATCTTAAGAGGAAGTTCCCACTAGTCATATAAACTTTTGCCTTGGATGCTTTTTCAACCAGGTGTTCAGTTCCTCACTAAAATAAAGTCAGTGTCATCAAGCACTTGTTATTAAAAAAAATAATAAAAAACAAACAAACCCTCTTAATATATATTTGTTTTGAAGGAAAAAAAAATAACCATACCCAGTTAAAACATTGCTTATTAAGAAAATTACCTCAATACATGAGCTATGCATCATGCCCGAGTAAGTCCTGAAGGTTATGTTGGCTGGATTTATCATACACTTTAGCTTCTCAACAGTCAGAGAACCAAACATTAAAGGAACCAACGGATCACAGTCCCCATGGCACTGAAGAACAGCAATCTCCTTGTTAACACCACTGATAGGGCCCTGTTAGAGGTGGAATTAGATGGGAGAAGAGAAGAAAGAGACAGTAAGTGGAGGTAAGGTTAACATCTTCGAGATAAAATAACCCCATGGCACTGTGCCCTGTGGCATGACAAATAAGTTGAATTCTGAAAGAAAAAAACACAATGTATAGTCTGCAAGTTCCTGATGAAGTAAGCTGTGCCTGACAACACATTAAGTTCAAAACCCTGCAAATAAAATTTTGGCACTGATTTCAGAACAGAAGAACATGATTTCTGGTCAAGTAAAAAACCTGATACTTTGTTTAAAGACTGTTGTGGTTTGAGCCTGGTCGGCAGCCAACCACCACACAGCCACTCACTCACCCTTCCCCCCAACACACCTGGGAATGGGGGAGGGAATTGGAGGGGTAAAGGGAGACTCGCAGGTTGAGATAGAAACAGTTTAATAATGGTAATAAAACAAGAACAATGACAGTAATAGAAAATATAAACGGGCAATGCACAATGCAATTGCTCACCACCCACTGACCAATACCCACGGTTAACGATCCCAAAATACCAAGATCCTGGAAGCAAGAGAGAGAGCCCCCCATCCCGACCACCCCTCCTCTATATAGTGAGCATAATGTTCCATAATATGGAATATTTCACTGGCCAATTTGGGTCTGGTGCTGTGGCCATGCTCCCTCCCTGCTTCTTGTGCACGGGCAGGATGTGGGGAATCAGTCCTTGAAATCTCCGTAGCAGCTGAAAACATCAGTGTGCTATCAGCATTCTTCTCATACCAAACGCAATGCTAAATCCAAAACACAGCACTATTCTAGTTACCAAAAAGGAACATTAACTCTATTTCAGCCCAAAGCAGGACAAATACCTAGTCTCTAATAAGATAGTGCCTTGCAGATGGAAAAAATGGCAAATAGAAAATTCATCTTCAGTGAAAATTTGGTGTATCCTTTCAGTTTCCTAGGAATGTCATTTTAACCAGAGATAGCTACAGAGGGCCAAGCTCTCAAACTCCAGGGCCTTATTTTAAAAACTTCTGAGTTATCAAACAACTGTCAATATTTGGTAGTAGTGATGGCCACTAACACCTGCATAAGATACAATCATAGAATGGTTTGGGTTGGAAGGGACCTTAAAAATCATAGGGACCTGGGGGTCCTGGTGGACAACAAGCTCAATATGACTAAAAAGTGTGCTGCAGCGGCAAAGAAAGCTGACAGGATGATGGGTCGCATCAACAAGGGCATCACCAGCAGAGATAAAGAAGTCATTATCCCACTTCACTCAGCACTTGTCAGGTCACACCTGGAATACTGTGTTCAGTTTTGGTCCCTGCTATACAAAAAAAAAGATGTGGACAGGCTGGAGAGGGTCCAGAGAAGGGCCACAAAGATGATTAAGGGATGGGAAGCCTGCCATGTGAGAAAAGGATGAGAGAATTGGGCTTGTTCAGCCTTGAGAAAAGAAGGCTTAGGGGAGACCATATCACCATGCTCTAATATTTAATGGGTGACTACAAAGAAGATGGTAGACTCCCTTTTTGAAAGGGGTCACATGGAAAAGATGAGGGGTAATGAGTACAAGTTACTCCTGGGGAGATTTCGCATGGACACAAAAGGAAAATTTTTCACAATGACAACAATCAATCATTGGAATAATCTCCCTACAGAAAGTGGTGAATTCCCCAACATTGGACACTTTAAGATTCAGCTGGACAGTGTGCTGAGCCATTTTGTCTAGACTGTGCTTTTGCCAAGATTGGGTCAGATAATCCTGGAGGTCCCTTCCAACCTGGTATTCTATGATCATCCAGTTCCAGCCCCCCTGCCACAGGCAGGGACACCTTCCATTAGACTAGGTTGCTCCAAGCCCCATCCAACCTGGCCTTGAACCCTTCCAGGGAGGGGGCAGCCACAGCTTCTCTGGGCATCCTGGGCCAGTGTCTCACCACCCGCACAGGAAATAATTTCTTCCTTGTATCTAGTCTAAACCTAGCCTCTTCCAGTTTAAATACATTACCCCTTGTCCTATCAGTACATGCCCTTGTAAAAAGTCCCTCTCCAGCTTTCTTGTAGGCCCTCTTTAGGTACTGGAAGGCTGCAAACTTCAGAAATGTTCATTCCCCGAATACAAATTAGATTAGGAAAGAAACGTAGATACCTGAGGAAAAGAAGCCCGTAGAGGAAGCCAACAGCTGAGTGCTACAACACCTGCTAATTTTTGTTGTGTTGTAAGAGCTGTATACAATGATAAAGCACCTCCCTAAGATAAAGAGATTTAAAAGGTATTAGAATGGTGATGGCAATGTTCCTTTTAACACTTGTTTCAAGATCTCCGGCTTCTACTTTAAAGATCTTTTTTCTGTTCCAAACTATTCTTCCTTAGAACCAACACTAAAACCAGTATTCCTGTACAACACTTATTTTGCTTCCCCGTCCCTGCCCCCGTCCCCTCACAAGTCCATGTGATCAATTCAGAAGTAAACCAGCAAATTTACCATAACTAACAGCTGGTGGAAAAAAAAAAGAGAAATAAAGCACTATCACTTATGATAGTATTATCACTTATAAAGTATTATCATTACTTTAATATTTTAATTTACTTGCATGCAGACTGGGGAGTTGGCATATGGACCAATTAATTTATTAACCTACCTACCACGGATGTCTTACAAGTATGAACGGTCAAATTTCCTAAATAAATCCAGACCATCAAATATCCACCAAATTAAATTAAAAATACTAGCAGGATTTTCGAGCAAAGCTATGTATGTTACATGCATAAAGACTTTAAATAGACTATTAATTTTAGTATCTTTTTTCCACATGCATGTTCAGTGAATAGTAATTATTTGCTTAAAACTAAAAAACTTTGTTAAGGCAAAGGGAAATTGACACCTTAAAATTTTAGAAGAACCTAACATCAGCTCTTTTCAAGCGTCTAGATTTTCCATATTAGGAAAGCTAGGTTACTTCCCTAGAAAAAGACACAGTTCTTTCCAACCACACCTTACCTGAGAAAAGCCTCCCAGAATAATTCGATTAGAAGGAATTCCATTTTTTACTTCTTGATCTATCAGTGCTTTAACTGCAATGTAAATAAAGGCCAGTAGTTAAAACCCACTTCATTCTGTAGGCAGTCTAGAAGAGGAAAGAAACCTTCTCCCTGATGTCAACAGAAAGCTAGTGGAAGGAAAATATAGACTGTTACACATTAAAAGGTATCAAACTGTCTAGAGCACCATCAGAAATTCCAGTGCCACTGTACCATTTCCAGAGAGAAAAACATGAAAGTAAGTCTCGCAAAAGCCCCACTGCCAGAAAGATGGTATCCTCTTCTAGCTATCCAGCATACCAAGTGGATGCTCATACAGCTCTAACATGCTGCACTACCCAGAAGCTCTTAAAAAAAAGTACACTGGTTCCCATGTACATTTCATATTTGAAAGGATAAAGTGTTTATACTGGTGAATTACTCTATTTACTCATGAAGGTTTTTTTCTTAAAAAAAAAAAAACACAAAACAACACAACACACTTAGCTAATCTTTGATCAGCAATAATACTATATATATAAAAATATATAAAACTTTCCCTAATAATTTTGTCTTTGAAAAATCTGTTTCAGACTGATAATTCATCTTTAAGAACACACCAAAGTACTTTTAAGACATAAAAAGTATTCCTAAGCATACCATTCTCTGCCGCCTGCTTGATCCCAACTTCATCTTCCTGTGAATCTGGAGAAAGTCCAATGATATCAAACCTTACAAAAACATCAACAAGAGCATTACTCATTAGAGCATCAATTCTACTTCCTTAAAACACAAATAATAAAATGTGATATTTTCCAGATAAAAATATTAGCTGATGTCTTATTTATTACCAACAACCCATAGATTACAAGAAATAGTGGACAATGTGTGACCACAACTGAAAAGCCAAATCTAGTCAAAAAAGCTTTTCTGAGTTTTGATATCTTCTGTAATTTACTGCAGATTAAGCAGCTCAGTTTTGATACTTGCTCCAAAAATATCAGCAGGAATTTCAATTTATCAGTTGCATGTACTAAATTAAAATACCATTTGAAGAAATAGGAGAAAACCAAATATGAGTTACTTGAGGGAAAAAAACAAACCCTGAAGAGAGCTGGTTTAAGACCACTGAAATCTACCATTTTCTTGTTGTGTATTCAGAATGGATGTTCTAAATATCAGTTTCTAGGTATCCTATTGAATCACCAAATATTAGTCACTAGTAGCAATAATATTTCCACTCAAGTCTCTACTACTACTATGAATTCATCCACAGTATGGACTATAGACTATACTTCTAAAATAAAGTGGGGTTTGCATTTTAAGGCATACAGATTAGTCCTGAGGAATACCCATTATCACAGATACACAAGGAGAATTAGAATGTACTCACGAGAGCCCTTTTATAAGAACAGAACTAAAGCAAAAAACTTTTTATACTTACATGTGATTAAAAAAACCACAGCCATTCAGGCTGTTCATGATTTTCAATTAAGAGCAATGATTTCAAACCCCCAGGCACCTTTTGACTGGAATCATCTGCAATTGAACAAATACTTACCATGATGGCATAGCCATGTTCATATTCAAAGAAACTGGCATAACTGGCCTGGAAATGAGAACGAACACCGACATATGAAATTACACATACCTAATCCTGCCTTACTTTTAAACCTCAATTAACATTATCTACATTGTAGTGTCTCTTCAAGAAACCTCTCCTGAAATCTGCCAGCTCAAACACATTTAATATGCAGGGGTAAATTACCACTCTCTATGGAGAGCAGGCAAAATATTATTGGACTGTTTTACATACAATATGAGAGTGTGTATACTATCATATACATTTTATATATATATATAAAATTTAGTTATTTCCAAGTAACAGTTATTTATCACAGTTCCATACACATGCTCAGTGGATGAAGGCACCTTGCACGGCAGCATCAGCAAACCTAAGGAAGCAGTCAAATGCAGCGGAGTGGTGGTTACAAGCCTGGCCACACACACTTCTATCAACAGTTGAATCTGCTTAAGCAGTGCCTGCCTTCACCACAGGACTCACTCCCATCCTTATGCCGCTGTACAGCGTCTTTTCAGACATACCAAGACAACTTCAATGGACCACACCGTGGATCAAACCCAGCTATAGTTCTAATCTACCAAAACTGAGGAATGTCAGTTCTGTGGAGAAAGACTGAAAGACTACAAAAAGGGCAAGCAAAGAGAACAGCAGACACTGCTAAGCTCTTTCTGAGAGGCTCAGCAAAGCCTGGCCATGTTGTAAAATAAATAAAACACAGCCTAGTAATCAGAAATACACCAAAACTTTGCTTTCTTATCTCCCTATCATCCCTGCTCCACATCTCTCAAGACTGCTAGAGCAAAATCTGAATTTTGTGTTAAAATAAATTAAGGTTATACTTATAGTTTTTCTGTCATTAAATAAATACTAGACAGATCTTAACGCTTTTACTGACTCCTGACCCTGCTCCGAAGTATTTCACTTCTCAAACTGCACAAGGACAGCTCAAATTGCATTATTTGCTGAAAATATGAATATCCTGTGCATCTTTGAAACTTGCTGTAAGTAAGAGAAATTTCACCTACTATACATGCACCTGAGTTTAAGAAGCACATGTACCTAATACAAAGTATATTTAATGGTCAGTAAAATACAAACAAACAACAACAAAAAAAAAAATCACTCCTTGTTATGACCAGCTTTTGACAAATGACCGTTGAAGGAAAAAAAGCAACCAACTCAATCCAGAGAAAACACAAAGTCAAAAAAGTTTAACTTTGCACATAAAACTTTCCAAATGTGTTTTCAGTCTGAATTAGTAACAAAAGTAAAATATGAATAAAAAGGCAGTTTTGCCATAAAGTAAATCACAGAGCAGTTCCTAAAAATAAAATATGTAATAGCATCAACATTATTTTAGAGGGTTTTTTTATATAAAAACAAAATGCAGAGACATCCAAATTCCATCTGACTTCATTGTCTGTGCAAGTGTCTTAATAAGTAACTCTACAGAAAAATGTGAAACAAGAAAAGTTACAAACTTACGCATGTGGGCAAATGTATTTTACGTGGGAGCTTTTGATACCAGCAAGCGCTTCTGACCACCCATGCCTGTTAACAGAAATATATTAAACAGCATTCATGTTTTGGCTTAGCTCTTATTTCTATGCTGGTGCAACAGCACAGAGCAAGTACGAAATACGCTGAATTTGATCAATATAAACACATTCCTAGAAAATTTTTACATCAACTGCAGTATGCTATGAACATAGTACTAAACTTAAAAGGTTTGTTCTGCCTCTGAATATTTGTTGCGTATATGCAGCCAAGGACACTTTATCTGATTTGACTATCATAGTCGTGGCACAGCTGCAGAAATACCACTGTGGCCCTAGGCAAAGCCTGCTCTGTATCTGAATGGGTTTATTAACCTGAGTGCTACAACATACAAACACAGGCATCCTGCTTCCAGGCAGCTCTAGCCCAGAGGCTGCTTTGCTGCTCCTGCAGAGTTAAGGCAGCTTCTTTCACAGCCAAGTTCACTTTTCCTGAACCAAATTTCTTGATGTGGGAGAGTAGTGACCTGACGCCTAAGCTAACTCCACAGGCAGCCAACCTAATCAGTCAGATCTATTAACTTGGGCTCAGCTTGCATGCTCTCATTGAGGCAGTCCTGAGCAACACTCCGGATTGCAGGTAGCTTTTTAAATCTCAAGCAGATGCTGTATGAATGCACAGACCAATGTGAGATCTGCACAGCACATTAGTTACCAAACTTCCTACAAATGAGAAAACTGGAAAGCATAATTTAAATAAACAGCTCCAAAAGAGTCATTCCAGGGCTCATCTAGACATGAACCGAGCTGGAGCCAAATCTGAACCTGTGCAGAACTCACTCACTGCCTGTGCCTGCACCTGCCTTTCCAGAACACTCAATAGTACCCATATTTCCTGATTTTTATCATTATTCAGTATTTCTAACTCACACACTAAACAAGACACTAGAAAGTTGATTCTAAGCAGAAAACACCTGCAACAAATTCATGTTTGTGACACATGCTTTTATGTCTTGTCTGCTGTTGGTCTGGTTAGCTCAGCATGTTTGGTTTAGTTTTAATTTGAATATAATCCTGAAAAGTTAACGTATACTACCTGAAGTTAAAGATGTTTCAAATACACAGACAGCACATACCTTTGAAACACTAGCCATATATCTCAGCCTACTTCATACCAATACTTTTATATACAACATTAACAAACTGTGGGTGAACTGAGAAAGACTAGCTAGGTAAGACTTTGGGGACTTTTTTTTAGCCAACTATAAAGCTTGATTTGACTAATTTGGAAAACAACATTGTATACACATTTACACAGACTCTTTAGAACAATCCTCTATGTTGTACCTTTTGTTCAGATTTTGACAAGTATGTATCAATTGTTAAGTGCCATTTATATAGGAGCTAAGAGAGAAAAAGAACACAACCTCCATTAGAAACTTCTCAGAGTAAGAAACATACAGTTGGTAAACTGAAGTGAGCAATTTAAAAATTCATGTGAAGTAGAACAGGTCAGCTTAAACTGTGTGAAATTACAAAATTGTTAATTAGTTCTCTTCAGACAATTCTTTTTTGGGTCACTACTACAGCTTTTTGGGGAAAAAATGGTCGTAGGTCAAAGGCAGTTTCAGCTAACCTGTTCTGCAGAGGACTAGAGGAACAAATACAGCTAAATCATCATATTTCAACAGAGGTGTTAGGACTTGTTAGTGCATACATTCCAGTATGCTCAGTCCATTTGCAAGCTGGAGACTGCACATTAGTTTTGTCACCAAAATGGAAATACAACATTTGTATAAGGAGTGCAATTTATGTTAAAGTGCAAGTCTCTGTGTTTTTCTTTCCTCCTTGCCAAAGCCAACATCAACCTGATTTGCAAGGACACAAATTCTGAAGACTCAAAAGAATCTGCAATCACTTGCTGAGCATTTGGTGCCAAGATGCAGGTAGTACTGCTGCCTCAGCTACATTCTACCGGCAGAAAGGAAGAGGAATAATGCAAACAAGGTGTTGTGTCAGCACAACAAATGAGAGCAAACATCCCCACTTGTAGAATACTGCCAAGTGCACAAACTTGACTCTTTTTAACTTAATAAGTGTATAAATTACACAAGTTTCAATTTTGACAGCTGCCTTTTTTTTTTTTATTTAGTTCTTCAGAAAAAGTTTGTCTTAAATGTTGCAAGTTTCAACCTAGGCGCAACGTTCAAGTTCCAGGTAACAAAACCAGAGTTCTTAAAAAATATTATGTCATTTTGCCCATAAGGGATCACAACAGACAAAGCATTCATGCTATCATGCTACTTATTTTCAGTATCTAAGTGCCAATTCCTTAAAAGTCTTCCACCAAAAAAGGTTTCAACACACGCCTCACTTGTTAATTCAATAGCTTTACTGAATGTACACTTATATCTCAGCATATACAAGCTTCAAATAGAAACATTACACCACACCTAGAATGCCTCCCAGAAATTCCTTACTCTTTCCACTTCTACTCAAATGGGGAAATAACAGGAACAAGGCAATCAGAGCATTTCACAGTTTGTTTGAGGGTTTTTTGGAATCCAAAGACAATATTTCAGATAGAGAAATCTGTAGACATTAGGTGACTACTTAGTAGTTTGCTTAGATAAATCATGTACATCTGGATTTCAATATAAGTACGACATACTGAAGAAGGAACCATGGACTAACTGCACCTACTAGCAAACCAGAAATTCACAATTAAGGAAAAAAGAATTCTAATTTTAGACAAACATTGGAATAACCAGGAAACCACTCTCAGGGAAGCAAAAGATCAGAAACCCACTGATTCCTTTTTCCTCCAAGTCTGACTCAAGAACAAAAGAAGGATCACATTCAGACCAAATTAGGTGATTTTTGAAAAAGAGAGAAGTAAAAGCTTTTGAGGATTTACACGGGGAAATTTTAAATACACAGTTGTCACCATCTTTTCAGCATATATGAAGTTTCATCTGTTGTCAGACAGCGAGTACAACTGAGGGTGAAATAAGAAGCTTAAGTAACTTCTAACTGTCCACCTCTTTAAATCACACAGCCTTGTATCTGAAACCAACAGTTATTAAGTATGGAATAGATCAGAATACACACCCGGTATCTCCCAATCCATGAAGAAAAATGACCTAGAAGGAGTAAAAAACACAAACACAACGTAGTGGTAGGAGATCACCAAACAACGAACGCACCTAACCCACGTACTACAGACGCCCAGGCAGCCGGGAACACCACCATACGGTATCTCAGCAGAAAACTCCGCTCCCTTCACTTCCCCACCCCCACCCCCGGCCCCAGCCCTCCCCGCCGCCATCAGCGGGCGCTCCCCGCCGCCGGCCGGCACACGCCGCCGCGGAGCCCCCGCCGGCACTGACGACCTTCCCCCGCCCGGCGCTGCCTCCAGCTGCGAAGGGAGCAGGACCCCGGTCCTGGCTGGAAAGTAACGACAGAGACCTGTCAGCCCGCCCGGCCCGGGCCGGGCCGCCCCGCCGCACCCCACCTCCCACCGGCGCCCGCCCTCAGCCGGGCCTGACCGCGGCCTGGCCGCCCCCCGCCCGGGGCTCGGGCCGCGGAGGCGGCGGAGAACAAAGCGGGGCGGGGGTCGCCGACCCCTGACAGCCGTCGCCTCCCGCCCAGCACTCACGGCAGCCGTCGCCTTCCTGGCGGCCGGGACAATGGCGGGGAGCGGCGCCGACATGTTGTTGCCGCACATACACCGGGCTGCGAGGCGGCCAGCGGGACACCGGCCAGGAGCGGGGAGGCGGGGCGGGCGGCGGGCCAAGGAGGGCGGGGGAAGGCGAGGGGGCCTGTCGCCCACAGCCCGCCGCGTGCCCGCCCCGAGGCCGGTCCCGATTGGTGGAGCCCTTGGGGCGCGAGCGGGCACGGGGGCGGCCGCGCGGCTGCGGGCGGCGAGCCGGCCCCGGGCGAGTGCCCCTGAGGAGGAGGGAGGAGGAGGTGGTCGCTGTGGGGTCTGCGGAGCCGGCGTAGCCACCCTCGGTTCCCCCTTCGGCCCCTCGACGTGCCTTCCCGGGCCGGCCTGCTGGTGGCGAGAGCTGCGGCCTAAAGGGCGCGCGTCGCCGCCTCCGCAGACCTCTAGGGTGTGTGCGGGCGGCTGCTAACGGCCGCTCGGGAAACCCCTCAGGGGAAGTTCCGCCGAGGCCTGTGTTATAAATTGAGACCACAACGGATCATAATCCAATTATAATTTTATTAATTATAGCAAGTAGAATATGAGCAAAGACAGCGCTGGACGGCAGGGGAGTCTGCGCTCCGCCAACTGCCGTACTGATCAGTTCAAACAGTTCCTTTTTATACATTTTTACATTCGTGGTTGTCTTTGATCAGTACCCCTTCTGCTTGCACAAGTATCTGGTTTGTGTAAGCAATTGCGGTTATCTTGTCTCACGCGGTCATCTTGTCTCACAGGTTATCTTGTCTCACAAGCGGTGTCTGGCAGCTATTTGCATAAGCAGTTTTTCTGTCTTTTGCCGCCTAACCTTTACATTGAGCTTAACATAAATTTCAATAAACAGTACCCTTAGTTCATAGTTTCTTACAATCCCCCCTTTTTCTTTTATCCTATTATTGTTTATTAGATGCTACTTTCATTTTCGTCACTGCAAACAAACCTTTTTCCACAATTCCAACATTTATCATAACACTCTCAAGATAATACCTTACAATTACAATCATAGTTTTCACGTGGCATAACGCATTCACAACAATCTTTTCCACCAGGAAGCTCCTAATAGATCATCCCACCATTCTGAGTCTAACATTGAGGGTGTTTTCAGAGCACCATAGGTAAAACAGCTCTTATTCTATCTGCTATGTGCAGTTGTCGCCTTAATGTTTTTGCCGTGTGTTATTTATTCCTTGCTTTGTTCAGTTAATCCAACAAGTTGTGACCAACATGCAATTTGCTACTACTGTTTCACCTGTTGGTGTTAAGCACATTCGAGCTGTGTGCCAAACTGCACAGTCAACCGTACTATCAGACACTCTGTAAACAATAATCAACAATTTATTAGCAAACAAGAACCTGAAATAATTAACTGTATGACAATCCAGCAAAGTCCCACGCGACACAATCAGAAAGAGAAAAAGTAAGAACCAAAGATATCAGCACTGTCCTTTGGATGTTGTCCTTCGATGTCTTGTTACCCTTACTCACGGGGCGATAGCGATAGAAAGATAGAAAGAGTCCAAGAACAACAGTCACACGCCACGCGGTAACTCCTCTGATCAACAACATTTTCTTCTTTGAACTATAAGTCTGTTTCCATCACCTCATCAAGGTTTCGAGGGCGTCTTAGTTGTCTTCGTGATCTTGGAGGATTGGGGGGAGGAGGTGATCTCCGACACCAGCCACGAGACATTCCCTCGCATACCGCGATGGCAACGACGGTCACCACCAATATAATGAAAAATCCTAACAGCAGGGCGGCGCACGCAGGATCGTCCCCTACTCCCATCTTCCCAAGATTGCAATCCAGCGGGATCAGTAAGATTAGTGGGATAGTCCAGCCCCAGGCTACCGGCTTGACCGAGGAAGGTCCAAGTGCGCAATGAGCGGAAGTTTCTCTTCCACCCAGAATGCCTGTGCTGCCTAGATCTGGGCGGGCCTGGCAGGTGTTTTTGCCATCCGGGTATAGCCGAACTTTCGAGACCCTCCAACAACACATGCGCTTTGGACTGGGGGCGTGGAAATCCATTTTCCTGCTGCGTATGTGGACCCTGACTCCTGATCCCTACAGACCAGGCAGGTTCGCCACTCGCGCTCTCACTCTTGTACCTCCGATACCGCGAAAACAATGGAGCGTGCTTATGCATGGGCAGCAATTTATTGTGCAGCCTTGATGTTGGTAGCCCTCACTTTGTTTGCCTTTTTACTACATATCTTTTGCCCTTGTAAATGTTCCTCTTTCAAGTACCCATGTAGTTGTATCTGCTTATGTAAACCACCATCTCCTTTGGTTAACCATATTGAAAATTCTGTTATAGGTCTTTTCGGCGTTTTTGGTACTGGCTGTTTTACTTCTGTCACATCTTTTACTTGGATTCTCTTCTTCCCACTAAAATATCTCCATCCACCCTTCTGTCTTTGGGAAAGCAAAGCCACTCTGATGTTGGACATAACAGTAAAGCACTTGCTGCACAAATTTGCCACTATTAAAGCAAACCATACCAGGATGATTAGCAGAGGTCCGGTATAACATATACTCCCACCTCTCATGCCTATGGGGTTGCAGCCCACAGCTGAGAAAAAGGTCTTCTTGGTGGCGAGCACAGAGGTTAACCCGGTCTTGCCCTCTACTGTTTAACAAATCCGTGTGTTAAGAGTTAGTCAATTCAAGTGCAGCTCCTTTGTAGCCACTTCCTTTGTTTCTAAGCAAAGCAAAATTTTGGCACTTTCCGATAGTGTCCTCCCATCAACTCTCAGGGACATCACAAATTCTGGGGACTAACCTCTTTTTCCCCGTAAATCAAGGTGACAGTTCATGCCCCTTCCCTATACAGTTATAAGACAATTTTCTCCATCTGCAAGAAATACCACATCCGGTAACACATTTCACATTCACACAAAACCCACGCTTCATGACATCCATACATACACTCGAGACAAGGTATTACCCAATTAGGTTGATTTTCTAGCAATGCCTAATTGACTCCAAAATGCTCATAATCTCACATGTCTGTCAGTTAATGCTCGGTAAACGCCAGCTTTTCCCTGACAGTTTTTTTTGTTTGGTTTTGTCTGTTTTTTTGTTTTTGTTTCCTTATACAGCAAGTAAATGAATAAGTAAATTTTCACAGTGTTACCTCTGAACCCAGTCAAAAACCCAGTCAAACCACTGGTTAAGAGTCATTCAATCCCCTCCTGATGAATTTACTTAGTCCTTTGAGGGTGACTTGTAGTTGGTCAGTTGATGGTACCACAGTCCACTCCTGAGGCTTTTCCACCGGTCCTTTTCCTCAGGAGGCAAGAGTCCACCCCTTTTCTTTTGTTCGGATCGCTGTCTCGGTGGTCAGCAGCACCTGAAATGGACCTTCCCACTCGGGAGTTAATGATTAATCTTTCCACACTTTTATCAATACCCAATCACCTGGTTTTACATTGTGGATATTAAAAGCCAATGGTGATATTTGAGGCAGAAGTCCTTTCTTTCTCAGTTTCATTAAAGTGTTACCAATTCTTATTACATACTTTCTTACATACTGATCTCCTACTTCAGGGATGACAATATCCCTGTCATTACTCATACATAGTAATCCAAACATCATTTCATAGGGAGAAATTCCCAGGTCTGTTCGTGGCTGAGTATTGATCCTTAATAAGGCCAACGGCAGGCATTTAATCCAAGACATCTGAGTCTCAATCATTAACTTAGTCAAGGTTTGTTTTGAAGTTTGATTCATTCTTTCTCCTCTTCCAGAACTCCGAGGATGCCATGGGGTGTGCCATGCCCATTCGATCCCTAAGGCTTCAGATAGCTGTTGTATAATTTTTAAAATGAAATGTGTTCCTCCGCCCAAGTCTATTCTTTCTATTAATCCATATCTGGGGATAATGTTTTCCAGTAACACCTTGGATACCATGCTTGCCATTGCCCTTGGTGTGGGGGATTGCTTCCACCCAATGAGTTAAGTGAGCCACTAATACCAACAAATACTTTCACCCTTGTATTTAAGGTAGCTCTGTTAAGTCTACCTGGAGGCTTTGTATGGCTAGCTCCTGTTCCGCAGCCACCTTTTTTTTTTTTTTTTTTTTTTTTTACCTTTTTGTTCACTTTTTAACAAATTAAACATCGATCAACTAGTTGTTTAGCTACCGTATATATTCCTATACACCCATATTGTCTAAGAAAATGATCACAAAGTGATTGCGTTCCCCAATGTATTTTCTAATGTATTAATGACAGAATTTCTCATGATCTGAATTTCTCATGATCTTGTTTTGTTTAACATCTGCCTTCCATCTGCTAAAGTCCATTTTCCTTCTGAATCTTTTCCCCCCTTATTTTTAAGTATATCCTTTTCTTGTTCTGTGAAATTTGGGGCTAAATTCTCATAATCCCCTGGTATTATTACCGATAAAACTACCAATGATGATTCTGTAGCTGCTTCTCTGGCTACTTAATCTGCTAAATTATTCCCCCTTATTTCCATTGATGCTCCCCTCTGATGTCCTTTCACATGCACAATTGCAATTTCTGTGGGGAGCTTCAGGGCTTCTAAAACTTCTCTGATCAGCCGCTCGTGTACTAGCTCCTTCCCTTTTGTATTTATAAGCCCTCTTTCTTCCCATATTTTTCCAAATGTGTGGACCACTCCAAATGCATACTTTGAGTCTGTGTACACTGTCCCTTCCTTATCTCTCAAATATACCAATGTCTGTTTTAGGGCATAGAGTTCACAGACTTGTGCTGACCACCCAGCAGGTAATTTCCCCTTTTCAAACACTTCCATCTTCTGCCTCTCGATAATTACATAACCCAATATTTTTCCTTCTAGGCATCGAGAGGACCCATCAATAAATAGTTTTTCTCTATAGGGCAAAGGTTTATTTAACAGATCTTCTCTTATTTTCGTTTGATAATTTATAAAATCCAAACAGTTATGCTCTGGTTCCTAAATATCCTCCCCGATTCTCCTCCCATAATTCTAGTAATTTAACCACTAGTTTTCCTTCACCCAGCACCACACCTATTCCTAATTGCACTTGTAAATCTCTACCTAGCAAATTACATCCTACCCCTGGCATTAACAACAAATCATTAACAGCATATTGATCTTCCCCTTGTATTAACACATTCTTTATAACTGGGACCAAAAACCCCTTCACCTTTAGCCCCTACAGCCCAAGTTGTATCTTTTACATAATCTTCCTCCTGGGGTCTTAATTTCAAATTTATCAAGGGCTCTTCTGTTGGTATATCCCCCAGGAGGTAGAGTCCCTGACACCCCTAGTGATTACCACCCTCATCCTGTTGGGTTACTTCAAACACCAACAGG